TTGTTGCACGAACATAGTGATGAACGTTGATTTGACGCGATTTCAGATATGAGTCATATAGTTGGATAGTTTGAGTTGATTGTTAATGTTAGTTAAAAGAACCAGAAGAAGAAGAAGATTAAGGAAATCACAAATAAAAAAATAGTGGTAAGTTGCGTAGTTTTTCATAAATTCAAATTTTATTGATACCTCAAATGTTGCATACTGTACATATATTTTTATTATTAGATATTGTTTTCCTTTAACTAGGTGTTATTAATACGCCTTCTTTAAGTTAGGGAATAATTGTAGGATATACATATATTTTGTATTAAGTTATTTATTAAGTCATTTTTCAGTAGCCTGGTAAAAGTTTAAGAAGTTTAACCATGAAAAGCCGTAATATAACTCTTATCTACTTAGGCAAAGCCAGTAAGTAGGGAATTATTTACACCTTAAGCGGATGGGGACATCAATTGACCAAAAAATAGATTCCTATGGGATGTTTTGCATGATTAAACTTTTAAGATTCTTACCAGGGGTGGCATGGAGGGATAAATGGGCGTCGGCCCTTAAATTATTTCAAAACTCATATCGTGCGATATATTTAATAAAATTCAAAATTTTTTTGGAGTTTTGAAAACAGTTTTTGATTAGTAATTTACACCTTAAGCTTGTGTTACGGCCCTACCACAGTACGGTAATATTGTGGTAGAAACAGGAGGCCCTCCAACTGAACATGGTCGAGGGGGCGCTTGTGTGTAGAGAGAAGAGGTAGATGAAAATAATTGTGTCTGGACCTCCTCTCCCTACCATGGGTGTCCTTTATCCAAAGTATCCTTGAACCTTATTCCAACCCACTGTCATGATTTCCTTACTTTTCTTCTCTTCATCCTGCTAGCTTCCATAAAGGCATCGCCAGAGCTGTATTCGACTACCTAAGTAAGTATCTTATCTACTCTACAAAGAGAAAAAATAATACACCTTAGTGTAAGTAGATAGCAGAAATTTTCCATCTCAATTCATAGAATATTTAAAGTATCCAAGCCAGCAGTTTACTACAGGTTAAATGAAAAAAAAAATGGATGTCAGCGAATAAGATTTCAGGTCAAGCTATACCATATTTAAAAAAATGTATCTCAAAAACTGCTACCTATTAAACTGTCCCTTTAGGATTTGGAATTTTTCCCTCAAGAGCTTAAATTTTTGAAGTGACAAATGTTGATTTTAACCAATTCCACTAAAGCTGCATCACACAACACAGGTAAATAGAAGTAAGTTTTGGTCCAGATAGGATTACTTTTAATAGTTCGTTGATCCTGTTTCAGATCTCTCCGATTGTAGCGGGTGAACTTTCCTGAGAAAATCTCACAGCAAGTAATTCAACTACTTCCAAGTATGAACTTCCCGCTTCAAGAAGATGTTAACATCAGCTGTCTTTTTTATCATTTGCAGGTAATTTTTTACATATCTTATAACTAAATGTTTAAATTGATAAGAATACGATACTCAATGGATTTACGTTACGACGTACATGCTACGTAACTACACAGCGCTCCCAGTGGCGTGTGCCATAACCTATGGTAACTGCAGCTCGGCTGACAGTTTATATTTAATTATTTTAGTCTATGAAGATACACAATGGATTTACAGATCAGCGTTACTAAACAGTAAACATGCAATAGTATGTTAATAAACCGATGTATAATTTGGAAAATAAACTAACTAATAAAATAGATCTCATGATAGATTTAAATGACCTAACAGAGTACTGGCGTTTGTCCAGAATAATCAGTAAATTCTATATATATCGAAGATAAATTAAATTCTAGACATTGTTGACTTTACAAGAAACGCATATATTTAATCATAATAATTGTGTTAATCCTTTAATCCTTTTAACCCCTTGATGTGCCTTGTTGCAGGAATATCACCATGGTGTGCTGCTGTCTGCCAATCGTACCAAAAGCGTAGCATGGGATTTAACTCAGCTGTAAATTCTGCCCCATGTCAGGCTCCTTGAACAGTTTTGTACCTTAAGGTAATTATCTTACAAATGATTTACTATTTAAATCAAAGAAATTAATAGTTGTTAAAGACAGAGCCACTTTAAAAGGTCTCTTAATTTTTTTTTAGGTTCTTGCTATATTGAGCTGATCCGTTTCCCATATGAGGTTCAAGAAGAATCTTGTCAGTGGTAAAGCAAAATTCCAAACTACATATAAATACTTAGGGCAGTAATTCCCTAACAGCGGACACCGGAGTTGCGGGGACCTTGGCCTAGGAAGGGGCCCATCAATTTTTTTTTTTATAAATTAATTTCACTGATTTAATCCGTTTTTTATGCGATTGAGAGAGACGTTGATAATCGATAATGTCCACATGGTCGCGGGAAAAAGATAAGAATTTTGCCTCATTTGCTGAAGACGATGATGATCTGCAAATGACCATGGGAGATGATTACCATTTTGCCGCAATCGCGGGAGGCAATTAATATGTCCACACGTGTCCATACGACCGTAGGCGATGATATAATTTCTACACGGCGACGACGGGTGATCAGAACTTGACCTCCCCGGCTATTGTGCAAGACGATAGTAATGTCCACACAACTGCGGGAAAAGATCTGAATTTTGCCTCATACTCGGTAGACAATGATAATCTCCCCAAGACGGCGGGATTTTCTCATATATTGCCATGATAATGGAAGACGATAATAATGCCTACACGGCTGTGGAAAATAGTGAGAATTTTGCCTACACGACTGCGAGGATTATCAGAAGATTACCACAATCGCATGCAAATACAATCACTATTTTTTTTTATTTACAATTTTTTGCCGCCCCCCAAAAAAGCCAATTGCCTCGCACCTAATATCGGCCCTGCACATTCCAATTACTAAACCAATGGATCTTATGAGCGCTTGCCCACTGTACTACAGTCTAACAACCACATCATTCTGTTGTGGTGCATTTGTCCACTGAAACTGTGATCCGCAACTCTTGCCCGACTGTCGTGCTTGCAAGGGCGTTCATGATTAAATGATGTGAATGATTAAATGTGGAAACTTGTTTGCTCTGAGAGAGGATTTTGAACAATTGGAGGGTAAAGGAAAAAAACATTTATTAGTTATTATTTGTTATTATTAGGTTTTTTAATCAATTAATAAATTGATTAATTGGGTGAATCCAGTACTTCCGCTCAATCCTACGCTGCCTAATTCTGCACCACATTGCATCAACACGTAACAGATTCATTGTTTTACTATTTTTGATACAGAACCACTGTTAATATATTGCACAACACACACTCACTTGCGACGATGTTTTCTGCACTGGAAAAAAATATATTAAAAGTGCAGTCGCAACCGTTTGCCGGGGATAGCTCAGCCTACAATGGCTGGGTAAAGTTCCAGGGTCTGCGATAAGGTCAGGGAAACCACTAGGCCAATAGCCGGGTCTAACCGGTATAGGACTGGCTCATACACGGGCACTGTGAACAAGTCAAAAACAAGTCACCAAACAAACGTGCAATAATCACTACCAGGCCTACGCCGATTCTCCACACTCCTAGGGGGTCGTTGCTGACTACGCAACTCGGGCTTCGTCCTAACTATCCAATAGTTAAGCCCAGAGTGCCTAAAACACGGTGAGTTACACGACAACTTGCTAATAAAAACCACAACGCGTGTTATCACCAGGCGGGGTCTACTAGGCCACTATAATCCAATACACAACTCTAATGCCCAAGCTAAGAATCAAACAGTTCACTCAATAATCGTACCACATAATAATATACGAGTACACTATAGGTAGAGTGACTACGCCACTAATAGCTGGTCTCAATAAATACCAAGCCAAACAAGCAAAGCTAAATGGCAATTGCACTACTATTAAATTATTGAGCTACTTAGTAGCAGATAAATAAATATTAAATACGTTCCAAACACTAGATAAATATATTATCTGATAGCCGGTACTCCGCTATCCAAGCTGCCAAGCTAACGTGTTGGATTACTAAGCAAGCTGTTCAGGTTAAATTAAAATAATTAAATGATTAATCAATACCAACCCTACTGCTACTACCACTACTGCTACTATATCAACGTTATATTGCTTAGCCGGGCTTCTGTTAATAGGCTAATAAAACTAGCTACTAGCCTACTGGCCTCGTGCTTCCAACTACGCACGCTAAATCGTGCAGCCTAGGTTTGTCGGGCCTCAGAGTTATTAGTAATATAACTAACTCTTGGTACAACGCAAAATAATAACTACTACAGTCAATAAATTATATTATTTGCGCTCTAGCACCTGCCCAGAACCGTCAGGAATACACTTTAATATTATTCCTGACTAATATAAATCCTAACTACCGTCAGGCTTTAACCAGCACGGTTACTACTCTAACTCTCGCAATAACATCAGGGATTAATATTCTCAAACTAATAATCTCAACTCCTCAACCAAAATATAATAAAAGTCGTCCACTCACCACAAGTGGGTCACAACACCCAACTTGAACGCCGACACTCACTGTCACCTTAACAACACCAACCACGACGACACCGATGTCACCCAAATCACTGGACGTCTCACTAGACACAAACACTCGCCTCCTCACTCTAAGAGATCCACCACTAGAATGTCCTTCTCGGCTATCCAGTAGTCCCAGGATACCCAAGCTTATCCGAACTGATAAGCCGGGTCAAAGGGCGCTAGCCAGGTTCGCCGCCGCCGCTTGCTTACCTCTACAATCGGTACGCGGCCAAATAGGAGAAAATATACCCCCCTAGGAAAAATAACTCGTTACACACTCGTCCACAGTTACCGGACAACTGATCATTTACCCGATAAAAATACAGTAAAAAACAGTAAACATGCAATTGTACATAAATAACCGATGTATAAATTGGAAAAATAAACTAACAATTCAATAAGATCAAATGATAGATATTCTAGACTTGGTTGATTTCACAAGAAACGTATATATAATTAATTGTAATTGTGTTAATCCTTTTAAACCTTTAAACCCCTTGATGTTCCTTGTTGCAGGAATATCACAGTGGTGTGCTGGTGTCTGCCAATCAAAAACGTAGCATGAGATTTAACGCAGCTGGATCCTGCCCCACGTCGGGCTCCTCGAACACTTTTGTCCCTTGAGGTAACTATCATACACTTGATTTACTATCTGAAACAAAGAAATAATTAGTTGTTAAATCCATAGACACTTCATAAGGTATCTTAAGCTTTGCAAGGTTCCTGCCATATTCAGCTGATCTGTTTCCCATATTACGTTCAAGAAGAATCTTGTCAGTGGTGCAGCAAAACGCCAAATTACATAAATACTCTGGGCCGTATTTCCCTAACGGCAGACACGGCGGTTTCCAGGGCCTCGTCCAAGGAAGGGGCCTCACTGTGGGCCCCGAATATGTATTTTTTAAATAAATTTATAGCAGGAGATGTTGATAAAATCTGCGCGACAGCAAACAATCTTCCCTATTTTACCAATTATGTAGGAGACGTCACTATTCATCCGCTATCACAGGAGTATGTCCATGATTTTATCGTGACCCTGCAAACTAGGAAGATCATCACGATTTCGTCATGATCAAAGGAGATGCAGATGATGTCTCTGCCCTTGCGCAAGATATTAACCATTTCTCCTCGGTCATAGAAGTGGTTTAGGATTTCGCCGCGATAGGAGGAGTTGAAAATGATGTTTCCCCACTCGCAAAAGATGTTATCATCTCCATAGGAGATATTCATGATTTCGATGTGATTGCAGAAGACGAAGAGATGTCTCCAGGATCGCGCAATATGTTCACTGTGTTTAAGAAGACATTAGACATTGATTATTTTACTTCGATCGCAGAAGACGAAGATGGTGTATGCACGGTTTCGGGAGTATTGCACGAAGTCTAAATATCACAACGTTGTGTAAAATATCCGTGATCGCGCATGATGTTCACTATTTTGCCGTGAACGTAGAGATCTTCACGATTCCTCCGTGACCACGGCGGATGTCCAAGATTTTACTGTGACCGCAGAAGACGCTTGCAATTTGGTTGTGATTACAGATTCTTCCTAAACTTATTCCAAATTTTTCCAAAACTACCTACGGTACCTAATTTTTATCCGATGCCTCTAGGTCCAAACTTTTTATTCAACCCAAAAGAAATTAAAATGTCTGGCCCCAACCTAAGCCCCTAATATTATTATTTACAAATTAATAGACTCTTTATTAGCTAGACTCCTATGTCTTATTACCGATAGGATTGTTGGAAAAAAAAGAAAATTCATCGAGTTGAATAATTACCACGTGTATTTTTAAACTCTTCAGTTCCAATCTTCAAAGAGTCAGAATATAGAGGGGCTTTATAAATTCCAAATACGGCCCTGTAAATACTATATCCTGTTGGAAAATATTGATAGAACATTTAATAAGGACAGTTTTGGAATCAAACCCTCCTCTATGGATTGGCGATAGCTGTTGGCAGTTGAGTCCAAACAAATCTAAACATGGAACATGGTGGAAGCTTCAATTATATTTTACTATGTTTTTAATACCAACAAGGCTAATCAAACCATAACTGTGGGACCACCAAAAAGTTTAGAATCATTAAACACAGGTAATTTAAAATAAGTGGCGGTCTAGTTAGGATTCATTTTAACATTTCTTTGAAACTGTTTTAGATCTTTCCGACTGAAGTGGGTATCAACTTTGGGGAGAAGATCGTCATAGAATGAATTACAACTTTAAGCCGGACTTGAACTCACAAATTTTGCTCACTTGGACTTCGCTATTTGCAGGTTTTTGAGTTGCTGCCATACCAAAGGTAGGAACTTTCCTTTTGTGTGCATTATGTGTTCTGCCATCATTCATCGGATTGAGTCTTCGCTTCACTGAAGAAATCCCCGTCGTTTAGTTTTAGGTTATTACAAAGAGGTTAGGGATGGTTAGAGTTATCACAGATAACTAAATTCATTTTATTTATAATTTTTATTAGATCAGGGATTTTCAGGTTTTTTTATTATACAGTGTTAGGTGAAATTTTACTTAATCTTCTCATGAATTGTATAGCCCTATGCTTTTAGAACAGACTAGGGATTTTCAGGTTTATTTTTTAGATAGTGTTAGGTGAAATTTTACTACATTTTTTCATGAATAGGGTAGCCACAGGCTTTTAGAACAGATTGGATTTTTTTAGGTTTTTTAAAGTATATAGTGTTAGGTCAAGTTTTACTATATCACCTCATGAATAGAATAGCCATAAGTCCTAAGACAGAATAGGGATTTTCAGGTTCTTTTTATCAGGTAGAGAGTTAGGAAGATAATTAAGATATTATTACAGTAGCCTACAAAGGCTTTATAGCTATGATAGGTTAGTGCCAGGCCATCCTCTACGAGACATCTTCGAGAGCAGATCTTCAAATTCAAGACGCTTAATTATTTGTTTGTTTTGTATGTGTGTGTACTTATATTTATTCCATGTCCATTTTTAAATAATCTGATATTGTTGCACGAACATAGTGATGAACATCACTTTACGCGATTTCAGATATAAGTTATGAAGATGGATGTTTGTGTTGATTGTTAATATTAGTTAAAAAAAACCAGAAGAAGAAGAAGAAGAGGAAGAAAATCACACATAAAAAGTTACTGGTAAGTTGTGTAGTTATTCAAAAGATCAAATTTTATTGATTCCTAAAATATGTAGCATACTGTACATATATTTTTATTATTAGATATTTTTTCCTTTAACTAGGTGTTATTGATACGCCTTCTTTAAGTTTATTTTGTATTAAGTTATTTATTAAGTAATTTTTCAGTAGCCTGGTAAAAGTTTAATGTCCAGTTTCAAATCATCTGATATTGTTGCACGGACATAGTGATGAACGTTGATTTGACGCGATTTCAGATATGAGTCATAAAGTTGGATAGTTTGAGTTGATTGTTAATATTAGTTAAAAGAACCAGAAAAAGAAGAAGAAGGTTAAGGAAATCACAAATTTAAAAACGTGGTAAGTTGTGTAGTTTTTCGTAAATTACAATTTTATTGATTCCTCAAATGTTGCATACTGTACATATATTTTTATTATTAGATATTTTTTCCTTTAAATAGGTGTTATTAATACGCCTTCTTTAAGTTAAAGAATAATTTAAAGATATACATATATTTTGTATTAAGTTATTTATTAAGTCATTTTTCAGTAGCCTGGTAAAAGTTTAATGTCCAGTTTTAAATCATCTGATATTGTTGCACGGACATAGTGATGAACGTTGATTTGACGCGATTTCAGATATGAGTCATAAAGTTGGATGGTTTGAGTTGATTGTTAATATTAGTTAAAAGAACCAGAAGAAGAAGAAGATTAAGGAAATCACAAATAAAAAAATAGTGGTAAGTTGCGTAGTTTTTCATAAATTCCAATTTTATTGATACCTCAAATGTTGCATACTGTACATATATTTTTATTATTAGATATTGTTTTCCTTTAACTAGGTGTTATTAATACACCTTCTTTAAGTTAGGGAATAATTGTAAGATGTACGTATATTTTGTATTAAGTTATTTATTAAGTCATTTTTCAGTAGCCTGGTAAAAGCTTAAGAAGTTTAACCATGAAAAGCCATTATATAACTCTTATCTACTTAGGCAAAGCCAGTAAGTAGGGAATTATTTACACCTTAAGCGGATGGGGACATCAATTGACCAAAAAATAGATTCCTATGGGATGTTTTGCACGATTAAACTTCTAAGATTCTTACCAGGGGTGGCATGGAGGGATAAATGGGCTTCGGCCCTCAAATTATTTCAAAACTATCGTGCGTTATATCTAATAAAATTCAAAATTTTTTTTGTTTTGAAAACAGTTTTTGATTAGTAATTTACACCTTAAGCTTGTGTTACGGCCCTACCACAGTACGGTAATATTATGTGGTAGAAACAGGAGGCCCTCCTCCTGAACATGGCCGAGGGAGCGCTTGAGGGTAGAGAGAAGAGGTAGATGAAAATAATTGTGTCTGGACCTCCTCTCCCTACCACGGGTGTCCTTTATCCAAAGTATCCCTTAAACCTTATTCCAACCCACTGACATGATTTCCTTACTTTTCTTCTCTTCATCCTGCTAGCTTCCATAAAGGCATCGCCAGAGCTGTATTCGACTACCTAAGTAAGTATCTTATCTACTCTACCAAATAGAAACAATAATACAACCTTAGTATAAGTAGATGGCAGAGATCTCAACTCATAGAATATTTAAAGTATCAAAGCCAGTTTACTACAGGTTAAATGGAAAAAAATTGATGTCAGCGAATAAGATTTCAGGTCAAGCTATACCATATTTCAAAAAATGTATCTCAAAAACTGCCACCTATTAAACTGTCCCTTTAGGATTTGGAATTTTTCCCTCAAGAGCTTGGAATTTTTGAAGTGACAAATGTTGATTTTAACCAATTCCACTAAAGCTGCATCACACAACACAGGTAAATAGAAGTAAGTTTTGGTCCAGATAGGATTACTTTTAATAGTTCGTTGATCCTGTTTCAGATCTCTCCGATTGTAGCGTGAACTTTCCTGAGAAAATCTCACAGCAAGTAATTCAACTACTTCCAAGTATGAACTACCCGCTTTCTAGAAGATGTTAATATCAGCTGTCTTTTTTATCATTTGCAGGTAATTTTTTACATATCTTATAACTAAATGTTTAAATTGATAAGAATACGATACTCAATGGATTTATGTTACGACTTACATGCTACGTAACTACACAGCGCTCCCAGTGGTGTGTGCCATATCCTATGGTAACTGCAACTCGGCTGACAGTTTATATTTAATTATTTTAGTCTATGAAGATACACAATGGATTTACAGATCAGCGTTAAAAAAACAGTAAACATGCAATAGTATGTAAATAAACCGATGTATAATTTGGAAAAATAAACTAACTAATAAAATAGATCTCATAATAGATTTAAATGAACTAACAAAGTACTGGCGTTTGTCCAGAATAATCAGTAAATTCTATATATATCGAAGTTAAATTAAATTCTACACATTGTTGAATTTACAAGAAACTTATATATTTAATCATAATAATTGTGTTAATCCTTTAATCCTTTTAACCCCTTGATGTGCCTTGTTGCAGGAATATTACCATGGTGTGCTGCTGTCTGCCAATCGTACCAAAAGCGTAGCATGGGATTTAACTCAGCTGTAAATTCTGCCCCACGTCAGGCTCCTTGAACAGTTTCGTACCTTAAGGTAATTATCTTACAAATGATTTACTATTTAAATCAAAGAAATTAATAGTTGTTAAAGACATAGTCACTTTAAAAGGTCTCTTAATTTTTTTAAGGTTCTTGCTATATTGAGCTGATCTGTTTCCCATATGAGATTCAAGAAGAATCTTGTCAGTGGTAAAGCAAAATTTCAAACTACATATAAATACTCAGGGCAGTAATTCCCTAACAGCGGACACGGGAGTTGCGGGGACCTTGGCCTAGGAGGGGGCCCATCTATTTTTTTTTTTTTTTTATAAATTAATTTCACTGATTTAATCCGTTTGTTATGCGATTGAGAGAGACGTTGATAATCGATAATGTCCAAATGGTCGCGAGAAAAAGATAAGAATTTTGCCTCATTTGCTGAAGACGATGATGATCTGCATATGACCATGGGAGATGATTACCATTTAGCCGCAATCGCAGGAGGCAATTAATATGTCCACGCGTGTCCATACGACCGTAGGCGACGATATAATGATTTCTACACGGCGACGACGGGTGATCAGAACTTGACCTCCCCGGCTATCGTGCAAGACGATAGTAATGTCCACACAACTGTGGGAAAAGATTTGAATTTTGCCTCATACTCGGTAGACAATGATAATCTCCCCAAGATGCCGGGATTTTTTCATATATTGCCATGATAATGGAAGACGATAATAATGTCTACACGGCCGTGGAAAATAGTGAGAATTTTGCCTACACGACTGCGAGGATTATCAGAAGATTACCACAATCGCATGCAAATACAATCACTATTTTTTTTATTTACAATTTTTTGCCGCCCCCAAAAAAAGCCAATTGCCTCGCACCTAATATCGGCCCTGCACATTCCAATTACTAAACCAATGGATCTTATGAGCGCTTGCCCACTGTACTACAGTCTAACAACCACATCATTCTGTTGTGGTGCATTTGTCCACTGAAACTGTGATCCGCAACTCTTGTGCTTGCAAGGGCGTTCATGATTAAATGATGTGAATGATTAAATGTGGAAACTTGTTTGCTCTGCTCTGAGAGAGGATTTTGAACAATTGGAGGGTAAAGGAAAAAAACATTTATTAGTTATTATTTGTTATTATTAGGTTTTTTAATCAATTAATAAATTGATTAATTGGGTGAATCCAGTACTTCCGCTCAATCCTACGCTGCCTAATTCTGCACCACATTGCAACAACACGTAACAGATTCATTGTTTTACTATTTTTGATACAGAACCACTGTTAATATATTGCACAACACGCACTCACTCGTCCACAGTTACCGAGCAACTGATCATTTAGCCGATAAAAATACAGTAAAAAACAGTAAACATGCAATTGTACGTAAATAACCGATGTATAAATTGGAAAAATAAACTAACAATTAAATAAGATCAAATGATAGATATTCTAGACTTGGTTGATTTCACAAGAAACGTATATAATTAATTGTAATTGTCTTAATCCTTTTAAAACTTTAAACCACTTAATGATCCTTGTTGCAGGAATATCACAGTGGTGTGCTGGTGTCTGCCAATCAAAAACGTAGCATGAGATTTAACGCAGCTGGATCCTGCCCCACGTCAGGCTCCTCAAACACTTTTGTCCATTGAGGTAACTATCATACACTTGATTTACTATCTGAAACAAAGAAATAAATAGTTGTTAAATACACAGACACTTTAAAAGGTGTCTTAAGCTTTCTTTAGTTCTTACCATATTGAGCTGACCTCTTTCCAGTATGAGGTTCAAGAACAATCTTCTTGTTACAAGTAGAATTGAAAATATATTTCTAATAGTGCATTTAGAGTGGAGTCAATATTTTAGGGGTCCCAGTTACCAATCTTTTGTGTTTAAAAAAAATACACAAATACCAGCTGCTTTGAAACAAAACAGCTGTTAGATTTGCGGTGCCACTTCAATGGCTGTGACCTAGAGTTAAAGGGGGCATGAATGTAAAAGAATATTACAATAAAAGGTTTAAATTACCTGTATCCGTCACGTTTGTAGTTAATTGACTACAGCCGTTTTGTGTTGTAAAAACATAACTTCACTTCAAACGTACATTGATTTATTCCATGGTCGTTATAAGGTTTAAAGTTCACAGAAATAACACATACACGTACACAAAACATTAAACATAAATTGGCCAATACAAAAAGTACGAAAACGCCTATGACCTACCTTCTACCGGCACCGTACGTGTCCGATGTCTATTACGCGTTTTTCGTATTTTTTGTTTTGACCAATTTATGTTTAATGTTTTGTGTATGTGTATGTGTTATTTTTGTGAACTTTAAACCTTATGACGACCATTCCATGGAATAAATCAATGTACATTTGACCTGAAGACGTGTTACGAAACTTCTGTAGTCAATTAACTACAAACCAGGATCACTTGACGGATACAGGTCATTTAAACCTTTTATCGTAATAATCTTTTATCCAGAGGCTATATACCTGATAAACGCTTCCTTCAGTTAGTTTTTTCAATAAAACAAAAAAATGAGCCAGAAATTTACAGTTTTTCAAGTATCATTGGAGTAGCACAGGGTTTTCAGGGTTGCAAACTTGGGTATAAACTACTCTTAGGGGACCTAACAACATATACAAAATTCGGAGATACATGCACGTTTGCGATGTTTGCCTTTTTTCGTGTATATATTGACTGGCCTAATAGGCTACCATAAAAATGAAAAGAATGTTCATTGAAAGAAACTATATACAATTAATTAGGTCCCAGGTCCTAATATCAGAGTAGTATGTATTATATAGTACGAGAGCACGCCCCGTGGTCGATAAATCGACCAAAAGTATATTTTGTGCAAACTTCTCTATTTTCACCCCACACTGTTAAATAAAACATGTGATTGGAATGTCTTCCATTTGTTTTGATTTTCTGTTTATATTTTGTTGTTATTTCGTCATCACCATAGCAACCCATAAAACCCATGTTAATTTTTTAAAATTTCAAATTCATTTTTTGTGCTTATTTTTGTGCCTATTTTAGTTTATAAAGGGATTCTGCACACCTACAGGAAAATAGCTTTCTAACGGTATGCGTAGATTTTCCGTACGATACACACGAGCTGAGAAAAAAGGTTTTAAAGAAACATGCTTGCCTATTAATATATAGATAGATAGTGTATTATTTAGTATGTATTATGAGTGACTTATCAGTATTCAAAGTATCAGCATAGATTAACCAACACAAGTAGACTTCTCATCCCATTGTAAATTTTGAAGCACGTTTTTCGTGTCTAGTTCATGTACGTGACACATGGGCGCTAGTGTCGACGAAACTTTGTTTCTATTATTTTAGGGTTAATTTCTTGATTTGTGCTTTACTGTTTGGTTTTATAACTAGGGGACAAGTTATTGTTTATGATTAGATCGTATTATTTGGCTAAACGAGGTTTTAAATGACTGTAATAACGGGAAACAAATTGTAAACAAAACACCACCTCTACATAAACCGTACAGAACTAACAATAAAATTGTCTTCAGCTGTTCCATAAGGATGAGAAATCTACTAAGGGAGTATGTTTTATCTATGGTATCAGGTAGTATGTCCCTGATACTATTGATGATGTTTTTCTTCTGTTAAGATGGAGGGAGAGTACTAGTTGCCGACTTGGACCTGCTCAGTGTCGCCGTCACAGGAACAGTATAGCCACAAGCTGTGCAGACCGACTCGCCACTCTGAACGATTTTGTAAAGCAAAGTATTGGAATATGCTCTTTTTATTTCTAATCTTTTTTTGTATTAAACTCCGTTTACAAAATTTTGGTGGTTATGGGAGTTCTTTAAATTTAATTACCTATTAAAAATTCATTAGACTTGACTTGATGAAAAAGTATATTGTTAACTGATATAAAATTACAATGAAAGAACATTAAAAGTATAAAAGTGTATTTATTATTTATTTATTTATTCATGCAACAAAAGATTATAAACAAAATACATTTCATAGAAAGCTTCAAACGCCCCAGTAAGCTTGTTTGCAGCAATAGATAGAGTCCAGTTCAAAGTCATTCACAAAATGCCAGTCAGTTTCATATCTTGTACAAGCCATTCTTCCAATCTGTTAAATACATTGAAAAGTACATAGAAAAGTAAACAAGCAAACAGATTTTAATTCTAACATCTGCTTATTATTACAACATCCCTCCCTTTCAGTTTCACTCATATCTTTTTACAGGTTTCACTAGTCTTTCAAACTTTGTTCCAATTTCTTCATTAGGATGACTAGATCGTGAAGCAGGATGATTATTGTTATTATTATTACAACAGAAACAAATAGCTGGACAGATGTCAATTAATAAGCTCAACCGCTTAATCAGCTGTAACATACATTAAGAGAAAAGTGGTAGGGAAGCCCAGAAAAACTTCCCCTTAAACCGCCTGCATTTTGTAAACGGACTATTCTGATGTGATTATTGTTTTTATTGAATTATTGTTTTGTACTGTGTTGTCCATTTATGTAAGGGTATAAAAAATATACTATACTCTAACATCGTTTGCACAGAGTGTTCCGTTTTTTTGTTTGTAACAATATTTTGGTGCTAGACTTAGTTAAATAGAATCGGAAAAATTCCCAGATGTATGGCTGGAATGGAGGAGCTACGAAAAGGTTAATACAGCGCTGTGCCTCACTAACTCCCAATACCCTTTCCTAACCCACCCGAAATAACAAGACTGGATCGTAGTCTCCTCTATTCCCAGTTAGAGCTCTGAGAGGTAAAATATAAACAATAAGTAAAATGTTTAGGGAAATAACTGGCATAAGCCTAGATTGGCCTTGTTTAGAGAATAGCCGGCTCTCTAACCCTGGCTACTGAACCGGAGCACTCCATTATGTTTTTATTATTTTTATTTTTATTTTGTGTAAGTTGTTACACGAGTAGTTTTGGGTTACCCATGTCTTTTATGTAAAATAATCATTTTTATGGTCTCATGTAGCACATACTTACAATGTATAATACAGTACTCTAGTTTTTTGTGTTATAGTGTATGTATGACTGTTTTTAAGATAATCAAGTTGATAAAAAAGGGACTTAGTAGACTAGCCATGCACAGGAGTCCGGTGAAAGCTCCTGCGGTGTGTGTGTTCTTCACAGAGGAAACAGATAGCTTTCAAAATATAAACTGATGCGCTCGAACTCACCCATTAAGTATATTTTTTCCGACTGTTGCTAAATTTCCGTTTTCCAATATAGGGGATAAGCTATTACCGTAATATCCGGACCTGGGACAGGTTGACTTATTCGTTTTCATGTTCCCAGGGAACAAAAACGACATCCGTTGAAATGTATTCATTCCATTAGGATGATAACCGATAACTTAAGTAACTGTAACCCGATTTTGATCATATTTGATGTAAACATTTAGTAAACCTTACGTTTATTCAAATGAGTTTGCGAATCAGCATGCTTAGGCTATGAGGACGGAGTTCTAGGGAGCCGCGGTAAAAATTGGTTTTTCTTTTTCATTCCTAGAACATAAAATGTTTGAATTGTTTTTCAAACATTTTTGTAAAGCTTAAAAACCCAAATTATGATTTAGTAGATTAAAGTGTACTTTATATGGTTCCAGAGAAAAACGGTAAATCTGAAATTTCCATGTTATTTTAAAAATAATAAATTATCTTAAGTAATTTTCTTTAATGGCAAATTGATTTATTTCATACTCGACTTTTAGTGTTTCAATAAAAACACACTTAACTGTCCTGTAGCAGCAAACCTAAGCACTCACTAAACATTTGAAAAAGGAAATACATTTTACAAGGTAAATGACATATTTCAAATATTTTTTGCCATCCCAGATTCAAAAACTTGAATTATACGTATTACATTTACCGTTGTTGTAGTTGCCCGAGTTCTTCTAGGTAAGAGATTTTTATCACCCCATGAATTTCTCCACCTTGTGTTTCATCTTCAGGTGTCTTCTTGAATTCATCTTCATATTACTACACTAATTAATATTTACAATAATATTTACACACATGGTCACTAGTATTGCGGTTGGGTCAATCGGACAGCGACGATGTAGACTTGGCGGAATCATCGCGGATGGTCTTTCTTCCTCAGTTTCATTTCTAGACTTAGGGATGTCGGCATTTGGGCCGATCGACGGTTGAGGGTAGTTTGACTCTCCTGGTTTATGGTCGGTGCTTTGATCTCTGTTGTTGCTGATGGTTTGGTGCTGTGTTTCCAGTTTTGTCCGTTTCAATGACGCTGTCGTATATTAATTTGAAAATTGTAGGACTGGTGTAGTCTTCTTTTTTGTTTCGGAGGGTGTTCGATCCATTTATATTTTGTAGCTTTCTTGTACTTTTGCTATGGGATTTTGAGTCGGTTTTGTTCTGAATTGTGAGGGAATCGGGAATCGTAGAGTTGTTATGATGACTTGTGTCATGCTCTTTAAATCGTTGATAAACTGTTCTGTTGGTGTAACCTATGGTATTGGTTGTTAGATGGTGGTTATAGGAAATATTTTTGTGACTCTCCCATCTTTAATTAGCCTGTCTTTTATAAGGAATTTTGTAATTTGGAATCGAGTTTGGTTTTTACTTTATAGGTAGGTGTGTGTCCAACTCTTTGGAATTTTTAGGTTGATTTGTCTATATAGTTGGTGGATACGTACGTATCTTTTGGTTGGGTAGTACGTCTGGTTGTTTCCTTTTTTATTTGGCTGGTTATCGTGTCAAACCTCGAATGGTCTAATGCTGACAATCCCAGTCTAAGAATTGAAACGGAGGAAGAAAGACCTACTGCCATGACTACGCCACTTATTCATCGACGTGTTCCCTACCGCTATTATACTAGTGACCTTTTATGTATCAATATTTTTGTAAATATAGACAATAGGTTAGTAATAAGGAGATAAATTCAAGAAGACCCCTGAAGACTCCGCACAAGGTGGAGAAATCCATAGGGCGACACAAATATCTTACCTGCAAGAGGTCAGGCAACAACAACAAAGGTAAATGGGACAATTTTTTGTCAAACTACAATCAGGCAAATAAAAATGTTCCTAGTCTGCAGGTTTGCTGCGGCGGGGGATATTTATTCCTCACAATTTCTTAGCGATTTACTGGTAAGTCTACTGGTCCTTGTGTAATTCAATTCCTATCTAGATTTGGGGTATATATACGTTTTTCTGTTTTTGTTACCGGTAACTGTTTTTCTGTTCTGTGTACTGTAGTTATTTTTGTTATTCATTCACTATATTTAGGCGGTTTTTGGGGAAGAATCCCCTCCACTTGACCCTTACCTTTGAAATAATAGCTTAACAGCTGATTAAGTAACATACTGTAGATTAAATACAAAAAAGTGGTGGGGGAATTTCCCTTCAAACCCCTTAATTATTGTGAACGGAGTAGTAATGCAGAGTCAACAATCGTGTACACCATGTAGTTTTAAATACGTTTCTTTTCTCTTCCTATCGTTCTGTTAACATTTTATGCTACATGACGGTGCTAGGAAAAAGTAAAGTTTGTAAAGTCAGTAAATCTTAATGTGTTATTGTAGTCTAGTAGAATATAAATGTTAAGAAAATTGTTCTTGTTGGTTTATTTTTTGTGGTATTCAAAGGAAAGAGTAAGGGGTGTAAATCAAAATTTGAAAGGGGTCAGATATTTTGAAAGAGGGCAGAATTTTAATCTGCCAGGGGCATACATCATATACCAACCCCATCCAGAAATATTATTATTTAACTTCATATAAGTATCCCAAGTAATTTTTAAAACCTTTCAGTCTAAACTTGTATATAAAAAAACTTTTGCAAATATTATGACAGCCAGCCTACTACTGGACGGAATTACACAAGGGTTGTACCAAAAGAAAGGTTATCGGTCCTATGCAGATTTTATTTTTATTTTTAAAATATTCATGTTAATTGGGTCAAAAATGGAAGTTAAACTTTTCTGATGGAGATTTAACATGGGGCCAAATTTCTAAGCTCACAACAGCCACCCTGGCCATACTATTAGACCTATTTACACGTTTGTAATACAAAAATAAAGATTATCGGTCCTAAATGTGCAACCTTAGATTGTATTTTGAGAATATTTATGTCAATTGGGTTGAAAATGGAAATTCATTTTCTTTTCGAGATTTAACATGGGTCTAATTCTGTATATTAATAGATAAGCGTGTTTTTTTATCCTTTTTCTCAGCTCTTCTGCATTGCAGGGAAAATCTGTTAGAAAAATATTTGCCTGTAGATGTGCAGAATACCTTTATAAATTAAAATAGGCTAAAAAATAAGCACAAAAATGAATTTAAACTTTACAAAATATGTACATGGGCCTTTATAGGTTGTCATGTTGGTGGTTAAATAACAACAAAATATATAGGATACAGAAAATAAAAAATAAAAATGGAAGAAATTCCAATCACAGATTTTGTTTTCAGCGTGGGGTGAAAATACCGAAGTTTGCAACAATAGGTACTTTTGGTTGAGTTTCGACCACGAGGCGAGCTCTGGTTCTATCTGTCATAATTCTACACAATATATTTATTTATTTTTTTATTTTATTTATTTATTTACAATCCTAACAAGATGTCATGGCCAGGCTGGCTATACATATTATAAATTGTGCTAAGTCCACAGAATGCGATGACTTGAAACTACGGCAGCGTGAAACCCAAGCTGACCGCAATTAAAGAAATTGGTCTATTGTTAACAATTAAAGATATTTAAACCAACCTACGGGTCTGTATCGCGACTCTCTTACTTTTTCCTTACTCTTAAACTGTATTGTATTGGAAATATAATGTATAAATTTTATTTTTATTTAGTTTCACATTGTTTCAAACAGTTTTCATTAAACAAAATGTTTTTATTTTAGTTAATTTAATAAATTGTAAATCCACTTAGGCTAATGAGTTTTTTTTCTTAATCTTCCCACTCCCGTTGGTTTGGAAAAGCCAGCTACTACTCGTAGGTAGAAAAAAGTCATTTACCGTTCCTTTGGGGACAGCTTGATTTGCAAATATATATGAATCAATTTTTATTATTATTCATTCCAGTGATAAATTGATGATGTTGTTACAATTGTTAAATAAATTATTTAGACACCCCCAAAACTACTTCCAGAGTAGGTAATAAATTACCCTACATTTTCAGACAATACAGTGGCCAATCGAGTCGAGGGTTGAGTTTGAAGATCAAATTTAGGTATTCCCAAATAACTTAATAAGAATATGCAAAATGTATTCTTTCAAGATTCAAGATTTATTTCGGCCATTAAGTTGATTACAATAGGCTTTGTCTTACATAAAATATTAATCTAAAAATAATATTTCAGTCTTTCCTGAAAAAATTAAACTTACAAAATAATAAAATAATCCACTGCAAACCAAACAACAGCACTTCTGTCAAAATCTTCACACAGCAAACCATGCAAAATATAATTGTCAAACAAACATACCTTTCAGTAGACTTACATGACATGACTTAATAAGTATTTAAGTTTTGTGCAGCCTTCATGGCATCAAAAAATTCATCAAATTTGTAATATGGGTTCAACTCAAGCCAATTTTTCACAATGGATACAAATTTTGATCTCCTCTGGGAACGGACAATACCAGGGAGGGCATTGAAAAACCTAATACCTGTAACAGGAAAACAGTTTTGTGATTTACTTAATCTATTACTACTCATATGTACATTTGAACGATTTCTGGTCATGTAAGAGTGAACATCCTTATTATATACAAGATCAGCCTCCATATCTTTCATTGCTATCAAACATTGATATATGTACACATTGACCACAGTCATGATCCGAAGTTCGCTAAATACAGGTTTATGGTGCTCTATAAAATGAGTCTGACACATGACTCGAATCGCTCTTTTCTGAAGTAACAACACTTTCTTAGCATGTGGGGAGTGACCCCAGAGCCGCGTACCGTAGACAACGTGTGCCTGAAAGAAAGAGAAAAAAGCCAGCCTCAAGAAATGAAATGGCAATTCATGAGATAGGTTTCTTAAAAGGAAAATCACTCGATTGAGCTTAGCACAGAGGGCGTCAATGTGGTCACTCCACACAAGCTCAGAATCCAGGGTGAAACCCAGAAGCTTTACAGGATCACTGCTGGTAACATTTTTGTTAAGACTAAACATGATTTCCTGAGTCTTATCTTTGTTTAAGGCTAATCTATTTGCAGCAAACCATTCAGATGCTGCATTAACTAATGTGTTTACACAATTTCTAGCTGTGATAGGGTCAGTGTTCTTAGAGAACAGAGTTGTATCGTCTGCATACAGCAACACATCATTAGAGACATTGTGATAAAGGTCATTCATTGTAACTATAAATAAGAAAGGCCCAAGCACCGAGCCCTGTGGGACCCCATGCTGAACTGCCAGATCTTTTGAGTTCACACCTGCCCAAGACACTACTTGAGTCCTATTATTAAGATAGGACTCGATCATTCCAAGCGCACGGGGACCAACCCCATACTTAGGAAGCTTCTGTAGCAATAAGTCATGTGAAACACAATCGAAAGCCCGTGATAAATCACACAGGACAACGGAAGTTGAACATTTTTCCTCAAATGCCTCCAGGATGACCTGCAGAAGGGAGCCCACTGCCGAGACAGTAGATTTGCCCCTCCGAAAACCATGCTGGGCGGGGACCAGGAGCCCGTGCGCTTCAAAATGATCACAGAGCTGACTTAACATGACAGCTTCAAAAATCTTACCAAACACAGGTATCAAGGACACTGGCCTATAGCTAGATAAAACATTTTTGGGACCCTTTTTGTACACAGGTACAGTTCTGGCTGTCTTTAATACATTAGGGAAAATGCCCTGCAAAAGGCAGCAGTTAAACAAGTGGACCAGCAAAGGAGCAAGTATCTTAACAACCCTTTTGATTAGTGAAGTCGACATATCAAAGATGTCCTTACTGTCAGAGGACTTAAAATTATTTACAATATTTACAACATCGGATACATTTATGGTTTTCCATTCAAAACTAGCACTAACCAATGGAATTGAATCACTAAAATTGTAAACATCAGTATTACATGGTATACCGCCAATAATATCATCTACTGACTCAACAAAAAAGTGGTTGAAGTCATCGGCAGTAGCAAAATCAAGCTTGGCAGCTGCTCCCCCTTTGGGCCTACTCTTGCCAATCAGCTTCCATGCCGCCTTGCAGGGATTGGCAGAACTAGCGATGTGGGCTGCAGCGGCTGATTGCTTTGCTTCACGGAGACGGACACGATACTCTCTTCTTAATTCACGAAGGTATGGGAGAACACCCGGTTCACATTTTGAAATGTCATGAACCAGGAGTATATGGCTCTTAAAATCTGCAAGTTCGCTCGTGTACCAGTTTTTGATCCTATTGTTTGATCCCCGAGTATCACGACAAGCCGAATCTACAGTCTTTTGTTTAAGTGGAAAATGTAGATCAAATTCTTGCCACTTTATCAGAGAAAAGTTATGAAAGAACTTAATATGAGTTGGTGTCAGATGGCTGTTTTCTTGCTTTCCTTGTTGCTGGAATTCAGTTCAAATTTGTCTAATGAATGACGAAAAAATATTACTTTCTTAAACTAAATAAACCCAATCAAAACCAAATAGTTGGATTATTCGTGAATAGGCCTACTGTATAGTAGCTTATAAAGCTTGTTTCAATATAATTTGAGGAGCCAACTGTTTATTCTATTTGTAAGGTACCAAATTTTAAGGGGGGTAAAAACGTACTACGAATAAATGAACACCAGAACTTACCAGATTTTTAACCACGATAGCCTACTCCGAGGCCTATGTGTTGGCCATAGCTTGGGCTATGGGCCAAAGAACGTAGGCTTATTTTTATTCACAGTGAAGTACACAAACACATCCACAACTACATATTTATTCATAATAGCACTTCGTTTCACATAATAAAGTTAAACCGGCCGATTTTACAGATATTTAACGCCGCCGACGACATAACCCCAAACTGGTGTTTATTTGTTGACAGACGACAGACGAAACTAGACCTAGACCAGCTCAACAAGTGAATTCGATCAGCTGTTATCTAGTAGTACTAAAGTTCGCCGCTTGAGCGCGTAAGCCTCGAGCGGGCAGGAACGAAGGATTTTACTCAAAGACTCAAAAGTCAGGATTATTCGTTCGTACGCCGTCTTCGAAGTAACTTCGTCGTTACAATCGCCTGTTATCAACGCTTGCACGATCATCGATAATTTGTTTACCGAAGGTTAGCTATATTAGTTAATCACATTGCTACGATTTACGTTTAAATTTCCGTTTAACATTCGCACTCCCGTTACCAAATTCGATTTTCAATAACTAAATTTAATAACTTAAAATTCGCCGACTTGATTCTAGACCCGCCAGTTCCTGCCTGCCAGAGTGACTAGCGGTGATTATCGTTTGGTTTGATTTAAATCAATTGGTTTCCAAATCACGATTTCTACGAACGATTATTACGTACGTTTATTCTAATTAATTCACCGTTTTAATACCCCGAGACTTGTCGTCTGAGTTCTAAACCCCGTCTTTGGCGGGCGAGAGAACCTAGTCTTGGGAGTAGGCTGATTTGACAATCAGCTACGAACTATTAACATTAAATCATATCACGCCAAATTATCCGTTCAGTTATATTAATTAAGCCCCGACGACTCTATAGGAATTGTTTTACCTTACATTCGATATTAGATCGATTACCAACGTCTTTAACTAATTAGTTGCATTTTAATACGAGTATTTACATCACATTGGCTAAGATTGAATACTCATCGGTCCTACAGAGTCATTCCAAAGGTTAGGCAAAATTTACCAAAACACGTTAGCGAAGGTGAGGCTGATATAGCTCCAACTGAGCGTCTAGGATTTCCTGAACGTTTCCTGAGCTCTGAGCCTTCGATTAAATTTAAATAAATTGATCAGTCAAAGCCGTGACAACTTTCGTATCGACCCCTGGATTTTTCTCGGCTCCTTCTGAGCACTCCGGGGAAGAAATTTGAGTGTGGCCGGTTCTAGGGTAGGCCTAGCCTGACTTAGGTGAGTACTAGTTTATTCCCCCCCTAGAATTTTGCGTCACATATTCATCTTTCAGATGATAATTTTTTTATTTATAGAAATTAGGATAATTTGTTGCATCTATAAGCCTATAGGGTTGAAGTAAATCTGGGCTCAATCTATATTTGTGTAGCAGTATCACAAATTCTTAAAACTAATTCCATAAGAATATCTGGATCGCTAATCAACACCTTGTATATAGAAAAAGAACATAATTATTTACATACAAATGTGTAAACAATTAAAGCTGAAATACAGCCTTGAGTAAGTACAATTTTGGCTTTTGAAACAGTGGGAGGATGAACTGCCAGTGGCTCTTGAATCAAATGTAAATTAATTAAAATCAAGCAGTAAATTTGAAAACTACAGCGATTGAAATTTTAAACTTTCCCTTTACAGATATTAATTAATTACCGTATTTGTAACTTATAACCGATGTACATAATTATACACTTTTTTTACTATCCTCTCTGGAGTCTGGTAAAACAACTTGAGAGTTAACAGAAATCATAAATAACTTAAAAAAATAATCTTAAGTCAACATCATGGTGTATTTTCATCTGTGCAACTTAGTTACTGACTAAGACCAGCTGTTTATGGCGTAGGGGTTGGCGATCCCATCGCCCGGTGGCTTGTCCATCGCAACCAGCCTCCCTGTCTCCCTACTCTTCATCTGAGCAGGGGCTGTACTATTAATCCATGTTTCTTCAGTTTCCTAACACATGGATTAACTGTCTTCACCTATCCATCTCCTCTTCACCTACATTTCTGCTCCCTTTCCCCAAGTTATGTTACAGACCAACCTAAGATGTGGACCGTGCCGAGGGGTGGATGGCACCAGGAGGACTTTTGAGTGTCTGAAACGGTACCTGCAGGCTGCAGGTGCAGGTTATATTAGTTTGAACGTTTGAAGAAGCAAAACTACCAAAATACACACAAAGTAGAGGCAAGTTGTGTAATTTAAATGTTAATACAAATTTCATTTACTCCTCTAACTTAGGTGACACACATTTTTATTATTAGATATTGCTTTCTTATAATTAGGTGAGATTGAGAGGGATACTTTAAGTTAGGGGAAGTTTTAGGATAGACATATATTTTGTGTTAAGTTATTCTTAAGTCATTTTTCAGTAGCCTGGTAACGGTCTCAGAAGTTTAATCACGAAAGGCCACTATACTAAACATAAAGGGTTATATACAGAGGCAACCTTGTAAAGATAAAGAAAATAGAAACTCCTCCCCTCACACAAAAACTAACAGCATAATTTTAATTAGGGCAGAACTCCTAAACGAAATTCACTAACTTTTCCAGATTTCCTGATAATAACCCTGGTTAGACTTACTACTTACTTCCGCAGCTCTACAGGCCTTGGTGGCCTTTGGCTTATGCTACAATTCGCCTCCAATTGCCTCGATCTTGTAATTCGCCTCTTTCCAATTCCTCACTCACAACATCCTCAGGTCATCCCCCACTTCGTCAAGCCATCTTCTTCTCGGCCTACCCCTTGTCCTAGTCCCTTTTATGTTCTGGCTGGCACAATAGTTCTTTGGGCAGTTGGGCTGTCTTCGTTGAGGCATTCTCTCCACATGGCCTAACCTTCCTTCTTGCTTTGATGAAGTGCACAATATCCTCCCCTTGCATAATTTTATTTATTTCTACATTCTTCAATATCCTCCATCTATCCCCTTCCTTCACCGCCCCATGTATTCTTCTTATTATTTTCCTTTTGAACACTCTCAGTTTGTGTTCACTGCAGATAGGGACCAGGTTTCTGCACCGTACGTAACAACCGGCCAAATGAGAGTCTTGTACAGCTTCATCTTTGTGTTGCGGGTCAACAGCTTGGATTTAAGGATCCAAAGGTTAGTATAATATGCCCTGTTACCAGCCTTGATTCGGTTTGTGATTTCTTGCGCAACAGTGTTTTTGCTATTCAGCTCTGCCCCAACGTAAACAAACCCATCCACACCCTTAAAACAATAATTGCCAAGCCAAAGCAAAATCCTTCTGCTTCAGACATTTTCATGTAATCTAATGTAATGTATTTTCATGTGTCTTTTTCTCATTTATTTCTAAAACCCTGGTTATACCGGTGGAGATTGTTATTCGCCAAGTGTACCTTTTACTAGTGGTCTGCGAGTACTCCGTATTTTTGGGTCTTTTTGGACGAACAATTTGCACGAGAGATCCGTACAGGCAGAAAATTATTTTTAGGTGAAGCTTGGATCAAGTTGAACCAAGCGCAAATTTCCGTGACCACGGAAAGTGTTCATAAGATGCACGTTCGAAATTTATGATTTTACCCTGATCATGGGGGACGATGATGTCACGTAAATAATGTCCAAGATTTTTCCTTAACCTCGAAAGTTGTGAATGATTTTGCTAAGTCCGTGCATGAAATTTTCAATTTTGCCATGAGCGTAGAAGATGTTTAGAATTTTGCCATGATCACATACAATGATCTTGACAATATGTCCATTTTACTGTGACAGTGTAAGATGTTTACAGTTTTGCCGAGATCGCAGATTATGTTCATGATTTTGCCGTGAATAAAGAAGATGTTACAATTTTTCTGCGACCATGAAAAAAGTTGATACTTTTGCCGAGTTCCTGTATTTGCAGATGTTCTTGATTTTGCCATTACCGCGGAAGATGTTTAGATGTTCTTGACTTTGCCAGGACCTCGAGGGGTGTTAACGATTTTTTCGTGAACACGAATGACAATCACAATTTTACCAAGACAGCAGACTAAAACAGGTTTTCCCAGTGCAATTTTAAAATTCCCACATAGTTCCAGATTCAACATGAATTTACGCAAACTTTAGTCCGTATGGTCACCCTTGTGGGGTCTCATACCGGGGGGCTCCTTGCCCATATCGATGGAGGCCCATGAATACACAAAATGGCAAAATAAAATGAACTCCCAAGAATGGTTTTGCATGATTAAACTTCTAAGATTCTTGCCAGGGGTGGTAAGGAGGGATAAGTGGGCTTCGGCCCATAACAAATTCAAAACTCATAAACCGTGATAAAAATTTGGTAAAATTCAAAATTTTGTTTGGAGTTTTGATACCAGGATTTATTGTTTTTACTAATGAGTATTAACATATGCAAGCTTGTGTTACGGCCCTGCCATAGTACGGTAATATTGTGGTAGAAACGGGAGGCCCTCCAACCGAACATGGCCGAGGAGGGCTTGCGGTAGAGAGAGGAGGTACTGTAGATAATTGTGTCTGGACCTCCTCTCTCTATCCTAGTTGTCCTTTATCCAAAATATACCTTAAACCTTTTTCCAACCCACTGGCCTGGTTTTCTTACTCTCTTCCCATCATCCCGCTGGTATCTATCAAGGCATCATCAGAGATGGTTTTTGAGCTGTATAGGACTATCCATGTAAGTATCTATACCCAAGGAATTCCTAAAATAGGGAGTAGAACCTTAGTGTAAGTAGATAATAGAGACTTTCAAAAGCCCAATTGGAATTTCCAGAAACACTTGAGATCATACATTTCTTTGCTCAATGAGATAAACCCATACAATTTTCGAAGTATCCAATCTGTGAGTGTAATACAATGTATAAGGGATGTCAGCAAATATGATTTGAAGTGAACATTTTTATCCATAGTTAATTAATTTCTTCTCACTACAAGAACTGTAAAAAGTAAAACTGTCCCTTTAGGATTTGGAAGAAAAGAGATTGGAATTTTTGTAGCCACAAATACAAAATTTTCACATGATTTGACGTTGAAATTAAATCTTGAATTGATGCTTCGGATTGACACATAATTTATACATATTTTAACCAGTTCTACTACAACAAATGATTTCATCCTTCATTCAACACAGGAAAATTAGAAGAAATTGCCGGTCAAATTAGGATACTACTTCTAACAATTCTTTGATACTGTTTTAGATCCCTCCGACTCTAGTGGGTGTCCACTTTTGCGAGAAGATGTAAGCATAGCATGCACAACTCCTACTTAAGTATGAACTTCCTTTGCGGAGATGTTGACATCAGCTGTCTTCTGTATAATTCGAAGGTAATTTTTTATATTTTTTCGTAAAATGAAATGTTTATTTGTCACACAGAACTTACATTATTGTGATAAATCACCAGTAAACATATGACTCGTCAGTTCCTTCTTTTTCTTTTTACAACTAAAATCAGTGACTTGTATGATTTTGATCGGACGGTGTTTTTGGTTTCTGGGGGTATCAAAACCAAAAAGTAAATCAGTCCTAGGACTAAGTTTTACCGTGAGACTACAGTAATAGCTATTCCCTATATGAGAAATTCTATAAAAACCTGGAGAAGGAAAAATAAATAGTTCAGTAAATGTGTTTGTCTACTTCAGACAAAAATAAAAATAAATTTGTAATTATGTGTGATACAAAAGCTAAACAAATAAAAAATGATTGGTGTTTTATTAAAATAACAAATAAATTTTACAATTATTTTTTCCCTTTCTTCTTTACTTTCCTTGATGATGTTTCTGTGGCTGGTTGAGGAGATACAGGTTGAGATGTTTTTGAAGTGGAAGTTTTCTGCAGCCGCTGTTTCTTGGCACTGAAGTTTGCGAGGATGGGATCGTAAGGGACAGGAGTTGTCAGGTATTTAGAAGCCAATTTGCAGCACGGCAACTCCACACAGAGATACAATGGAGTTGCCATTATTGTTGCAATTACCAAATCTCCGAACCATAGATAAACCTGGAATAAACCACGTGAACATAATTAGCCACACTTCAATGGTTATGAACATAGAGTTAAGGATTTCTAGGTTACAGGAAAATCAGTCTCGTAAAATTGTATGTTTTTTTATGATTTTTTCTCATATGATTTTACCAACATTAGCACCAAGTGCCAGAACATACCTAATGTATGTTTCTTACTCTAATTTTGAAGATTTATCTCTGAAGATAAATTGCTATTAATCAACCAAAAACACGTTTAGTGTTTAAAGAGAAAATAATATCCAGTAAATCTTGAAGTCTTCTTAAAAAATAAATTTATATCTGCAGTAAATGTATGTTTCTTACTCTAATTTTGAAGATAAATTGATATTAATCAACTAAAAACATGTTTAGTGTTAAAAGAGAAAATAATATCTAGTAAATCTTGAAGCCTTCTTGAAAAATAAGTTTATAACTGCAGTAAATAAAAACTAACATTTAATCAACAAAATTAATTCAATTAACTATTTGACTTGAATTAAAGTGTTTCTAAGTTATCAAACTCAAATGTCAATTTTTACATTCAAATCAGTAGTTAGTAATTACTAAAATATGTTCTTCTGTAGTGTTGGGAAAGCTTTTAGCTCAAGATACTGAATTAAGCATTCAAATGTAATATGGGTATTACCAAAACCACATATTTAGTTGTCACATCAGTTTGGTTTCATAAGGCTTTTGTTTTATAATGAAAATTGACATGAGTTACTTTAAAACAGTTCTTGTACTGAAAGACGCTCGCAAATAAAGGCATTTTTATTTATTTATTTTATTTGTATAAAATAACCAATTAGGTACCACATTGTGCCGTTAGCTCAATTTAACTTTATTTTATTTTCATAAACTTACTAATAACCTCATGAAAGGCCTAAAACTGTTATTACACGAGGATTTTACGTTTTTACGTATGTCCATTTTACGTCAGTGTGTGTATAAAGTCTTCAACTAATTTATAAAGGAAAACCAACATTTATGACTCATGTACTGACAATATTAAAACTTAAGCAAGTTTACCGTTACAATTTACACATATTTACAACTCTCATTACAATACTTACAATGGTGACTTGATCCACCTCCGCAGGTGCAGTTTGCCGAGCGTTTTGTGGTGTAAATATAAGTCCGAAGTTGACCAAGTAAACACCAAGAGCAAGCCGAGCCAGCGGTTGAAAGCCTCGCCAAGACAAGAAATCGTTAAGTATTTCTGAAAAATGTTTGATAAAATATTATTGTATTATATTCTGGAGGGGGGGGGGCCAAAAATTTGAAAATAAAAAGTTGGTGGTTATATTTGCATGCGATTGTGGTAAACTTCTGATAATCCCTCGCGGCCGTGTAGACACAGTATTCGTCTCCCGCAATTGTGGCAAAATGTTAAATATTTCCCGCGGTCCTTTTTGTATCAAATTTTACCATGATTGCGGAAAAATGCCGACCATTTCCCATGTAGACATAATTATCGTCTTCCATGATTTCGGCAATAAATTAAAGTATCCCGTGGTCATGTGGACCTTATGATCGTCTTGCACAATCACGGTATAATTCTGATCATCCCTTGTCACCGTGTAGACATAATTATTGTCCGATAGGACCAATCTTTGTACAAAGTGTCATATTTCAAAATTGTACCAACTTAAAATGGCAGCCATTTGAAACTATCTATCATGAATTTCTTAAAAACGTTTGGTTCTACTAAAAACATCCGGGAGTATACGTCTTAGGACACATTTAAAAATACTTCGATTGTAAAAATTTATTTATAAACAACTAAGTAAGATATTACAGTTTTTATGAGACCATGCGTTGCCTGACTAACAAACCTCGCCGAAACATCATAACATTTATAGTGATTCACAATCTTCCTGGTTTCTCCTTCTTTTCTCCTATTCATCAAAACCACTCTTTCCAACTCTTCCCATAGCTGTCACTTATTACCTCACTGTTCATATCATCATATTTTGTCATCCCAACTTCGGCTATCATCCAAACTGTGTTCAACTAAAGAATATATTACCAGAAGAATGTATGTGTATCAGTTAAAATCATGTAAAATTCTAACCTCCGTATCCTTGTGTGCACACTAGGATGATCCACGCAGCAATGGCCGCCACTTGGAACTTGCTGAAGGCGTTGTGGTAAACATCAAGCCAAGGAGTGTACTCGTAGTTTTGAGATAGGATTGTCTTTGTAGCCACATGAAGAAAGACCAGTGAAGCAAGGGAAAGCAACCATACCATCCATAGAACCACCTAAAATGTAAGTAATTTATCTTAATTTTTAGTGTGGTAGATTGCAGATGATAAAATAGATATATTAGTTAGGCTACTTAATGTCTTCCCAATCCGTGTTATTGTACTACATCCGTTTAGGAAATTACTCCACCATTGGGATTGAGGTGGTAATCTAAACAAGATTAATGTATTTACATTTTACACACTGAATTTATAAATTTTCATTGGCAGCCGCTCACCAGTTTTCCAGGACGTTTAATGTAAATTGTGTCTTGTCTTGTGTTGTATATGTTCAGTAAAACCCCTTTTATCTGACCATGGCGGGACCGGGCTATGGTCGAAACGGCCAAAAGGTCAGATATCGGGAGGAGCATAGCCTGCAGTCTCCGTGTCCTCGGTAATTGTCTCCCGCGACGGCAGCAACACCCGTCATCAGCGACAGTGGTGATTATCTGTCGCGATTACAGCAACATCTGCAATCGGCCTTTCTGGCGGTTCTGGCGCTCAGGGTGATCGGCTCAGACAAGAAACAAGTATACGGTTGGGCACTAGGTTGGATATCCTCAAGAGTTGGTTATGCCGAGGTCGGATATAAGGGATTTATACTGTATTATTTAATAATTGTTGTCGCAATGAAAATGAAGAAATTTAGAGTGAAATGTAAATACAATCACTAAGCACCCGCCGATGGAGTAGTCTCTGAAATGGCCTTGGTGGTGTAACATCTGGATTGTGAAGAAAGTAATTATCAATACATCTTATAGGCTATATTAAAAAACTTTTGCAAAACTTATGACAGCTAGCATGACCATACTACTGGACCAAATTACACGAGGGTTGTGCCAAAAGAAAGGTTATCGGTTCTATATGTGCAGGATTTATTTGTATTTTGAGAATTGATTTACACGCAGGTTGTACCAAAAGAAATGCTATGGTCCTATATGTGCAGGTTTTATTTGTATTTTGAGAATATTTATGTTAATTGGGTTGAAAATGGAAATTCAACTTTTCTTATGGAGATTTATTTAGCATGGGGCCAAATTTTAAGCTTACGGCAGCCACCCTGACCATACTACTGGACTGATTTACACGCGGGTTCTAAAAAAAAAAAAATGCTATGGTGGTGGTATGTGTAGGTTTTTTTTTTATTTTGAGAATATTTATGTTAATTGGGTCAAAAATGGAAATCCAACTTTTCTTATGAGGATTTAACATGGTGCTTATATTCTATATATTAACAGACAAGCATGTTTATTGAAAACCTTTTTCCTCAGCTCCTCTGAATTGCTGGCAAAATTTACGCATACTGTTAGAAAGATATTTACCTGTAGATGCACAGAATCCCTTTATAAATTAAAATATGCTAAAATATAAGCACAAAAAATTAATTTAAAATTAAAAAAAAAACATGGGCCTTATGGGTTGTCATGTTGGTAACGAAATAACAACAAATATAAACAGAAAATCAAAACAAATTGAAGAAATTCCAATCACATGTTTTATTTTACAGCGTGGGGTGAAAATTGAGAAGTTTGCACCTTACATACTTTTTGGTCGAGTTGACCACGTGGCGAGCTCTAGTCTACATTTAATTTTTTTTCTTACAAGTTTTCTTTACTCAATATTTTGAATTCAAGTTCCTAATTAATACATTAATAATTAGTTTAAATATGTTCCACAATTTCATTGTCTTTGAGCTGCCGAAATTATACAAGACTAGATTTTTTCATAACACTTTCATCATTTAAGATTAATGCCAACCAAATTTGTTCACTTTTTGATGTTCTGTTGTCTCAGCTGTCACTTTTGAAGTTTAACCAGTGGAGTTTTCAGATAGTTAACACAATACACATTTCATAAATTTACTCTATACAGATGATGAAATTTAATACATACAATAACAGACCAGTAGTAATATTTGAATACTGTAAATGTAACCATAGACCAACCAACACAAGTAGACTTCTCATCCCATTGTAAATTTTGAAGCTCGTTTTTCATGTCTAGTTCATGCCACACTGGGCGCTAGTGTTGACGAAATTTTGTTTCTATTATTTTAGGGTTAATTTTTTGATTTTTGCTTTACTGTTTGGTTATATAACTAGGGGACAAGTTATTGTTTATGATTAGATCGTATTATTTGGTTAAACGAGGTTTTAAATGGCTGTAATAACGGGAAACAAATTGTAAACAAAACACGACCTCTACATAAACCGTACAGAACTAACAATAAAATTGTCTTCAGCTGTTCCATTAGGATGAGAAATCTACTAAGGGAGTATGTTTTATCTGTGATGTAACCAAAATTAAACTGATTGCAACTTACTTTAGAGAGTTTAAGTCGTGTATTAGACCGTGATAAGCTGAAGAGAGAATATCCCAAACCCAAACCAAGAAAATAAGATGGGGCTCGAAGATGGGTTTGGAAATATGACCCCAAGAAAAATTCATTTTTCCTCTTGTACCTGTAAAATTTATCTAGCATAAAAACTTGTTTAAAGGTTTATTGAAATTTAAGGAACCATGTGATAAAAATAATTTTTCTCTAACTATGGAAACTATGAATCTTGTAACTCCAGCCATCTTAACTAGATAGCTTTCAGGAAAAGAAATTATGATGAAAATTTTTCTGTACTTACTATTTTGAACATCATAATCACGATTATAGATTTTTTAAATGGTTACATATTGTTCTTACAATAAGAAAATACTAAAAAAGTTTGGCATTGCGTATTCCTGGCACATACTGTGTGCCAGCTCAATTTTTGAGATTACTGTACAAAATAAAAGCCAGCTCAATTTTTGAGATTACTGTACAAAATAAAATATGCAGGATGCACATTCTGATTGCCACTCTAATTGACCCACTCCTATACTTTTTGGTTTCTGCAATCTGAGCTTAATGTTTTGTATAAAAAAACAAATGGTCGTGGTATAACGTATGGCTTTGATAAGTTTTTTTATTTATTATTGTACAGGAAAACATTTACTTACTTCATCCCAAAGTTACAAGCGTCAATCTCGTTTACGTAGGAAGTTGAGGCGTAAACCCCCAAACATCCGAGAGTGGCCAATGTAAGCAGTGATATGCCGAGTCGAGGCCTAAAGTAGAGAGGAATAAGAAGCAATGGAGCTAAGATGAACAAATGAAAGTCTGCGGCTAAATACCAACTCTCTCCTACACACTGAAACAGTTATAACAAATTGTTATTCAAAATATTATTAATGAAAATCGAGTGTAAATCAATTGAAAAAAAAATTAAAAAATGTATAAATTCTTGCTGACAGAACTTTTTCTTATTTGAATCGTAGTCATCCAATCAACAATCAAAAATAAAGGTGTCAAGGCTACTTGATATATCAAATTGTTTCAATTACTATTTGAATCTGTTTAAACTGACAACTTCTAAAATTGTTTTAAAGCAAGCAAAATAGTTTGTCACATTTTACCATTTACCTCTCAGAGTATTGAAAACACACAAACAAAATCTCTGGAAAATTCAAATCTTCACTCACAGCCACAACGGGGAAAATGTAGTTGGAGATGTGAAGTACACCGGTGATCCAGTTGTTTCGACAACACCAAGTTGTATAGTCCATGTACCGACCCCACATTGGTCCATTGGAAGAGTGAATCAGCAACGTGGCAGTATACAGCATCACCACAGCCAGAGTCGGGGTGTATCTGGACACAGGCGTTGTTGCAACAAATATTGCATTACAAAAAACTTAAATAAACGCAGTTTGGGCAGATGGACACACAATAAAATAATAGTACAGATTCCCAACTTTTATATTGAAATCAATCGTTAGTTTTGGTTAGGCTGTTAAAAGTGAAATCTCTATAGTACAGTAGAACTCCGATTATCCGAATCGATAGGGACCAGACCCCATTCGGATAATCAAAAATTTGGATAATCGGAGTTTTACCGGAATTCCGAGGATTTTAAAGAAAAATCCTCATTTTCGGTACTAAGTGAACTTTTAATTAATAATAATTTAAATCAGAACATTTTTACAGTCAACAATGCTCATAGTACAAGTGTTCTATACATGTTATTAAGTCAATAGTGTTCCATCAAAGTCCAAAATTGGCTAAATGTTTTTAATAACAATTCTTTGATATTTTGCAAAACTTATTACTGTAGCTTTACGTTTTTAAAATTGTTGAAATAAGCGATTCGGATAATTGGAGATTCGGTTAATTGGAGTTCGGATAATTGGAGTTCTACTGTATGTAAAGTGAGATCTCCAGTAATAAAAATATTTGATTTTAGTTCATAAATGTTTGACCTGTTTCATAACTGGCACCAAAGCAAGTGGTATCCAAGTTCGTGACCCAAGTTTATTTGACAAAGCTAAAATAAGATTTACAAGATAATGAGGCTGCTTTAGGTACTGTATCACTAGTTTTTACAAAAAAACTGTAAGGTTCAGAAGAGGACCCAAGGTTTTCCCAAGCAAATCTAGCAAGGAACTGATTTCATATCTACTTAATACTTCCCTCCAAAAAGAAGGGTTTGTAGGTTTTAGAAATTTTCCAGGTGTCACACCCCTAATCTGTGTAACCCGGCATTTATAAAATACTAGCTGTACCCGCGGGCTTTGCCCCGTTTAACTTCTTAATTTTCAAGATGAGCTCGTTCGCATGGCTCAATCACGTCCTGGTTAAATTTTGTTCGCTACGCTCACTCACCTTTAGGTTGGAGCTCGTTCGCTACGCTCACTCACCTTTTGGTTGCAAATTAGCTGCTGTCATAAATTAAAAAATAATAATAGTGCTGCACCCTGTTGGTAATCCTTGTAACTTTAATGTTATTGAACATCATAGAACAGAACCAACTTAATTAATTGAAACAGCTGTTAAGAAATTCCTTTTAAATATGAAAAATCATAAGGTTAACATGGGAAACTCCAGAGCCACTGGGGCGGAGCCCGAAAGCCCGATCAGAATAAAAACTACTTAGTTTTCCTATTTAATGCCCAAAGAATCGGTGTACCGAATTTCAGCCTCCTAGGTAAATGGGAAGTGGGAGAATTAGTGATGAGTGAGTGAGTGAGTCAGTCAGTCAGTCAGTGAGGGCTTTACCTTTTATATATTTAGATTCACTTTACGTTAGCCTACAATAAACTAGACGGGGAGTCAAAATTCAAAGGGCCTCTTAATCCGCTCGTAGAGGGGGATTGAGAAGGAACCTTGTCCAAGACAGATTCACACTTGTGAGCCAAAATACTCACCAATCCTGAGATAGCCTAAGAAATATAAACATCGAATAACAATTCATTTGTCCTCATTTACTGATATGCCTATGACTGTTTCAAATAACATACAAACTCGAACTACATACTTAAGAAGATATATTTTACTTCAAGATTACTATGAGATATTTTATTTTACTTGAGCTCACCTTAAATAACGTTTTCCGATTGATTGCAGGACGTCGAGTGGTTTTCCCTTATATCTGTCTCGGAAGAATCCATACGCTCTGACAGTTCCACCAATCATGAAGTAGATGTCGACTCCTCGAAGGAAGTTTTCACACAAGGTGACCATTACAGAGTCTAACGCCTAGGTAAATAAGATGTTATACAGGGTGTCCCGGAACTCTCTACCAATATTTTAGGGCATTGCTCCTGGGTAAGAAACATAACTAAATATGATATTTAAACTGTCCGGAAGTCCTTAGTTACTCACACAGCTGCCATTTTGTTTTTTTCAGTTATTTTTTTTTTTCTAAAGAACGGTTGAACATACGAAATGGAAACTTTGCACAAACATTTATGACAACTAGACAAAGCTACCAAAAAATAATCACGATTATTCAAGTTCATAAAACAAAATGGTGGTCATTTAAAATTTTTGTAAAATCAATGGTTTTGAGTTATTTAAGACAGAAAATTTTAAATGGCCACCATTTTGTTTTATGAATTTGAAAAATCGTCATAATTTTTTTGTTGGTTTGTCTAGTTGTCATAAATGTTTGTGCAAAGTTTCAATTTCATATGGTAACTATTCTTTAGAAAAAAAAAAAAAAATTGAAAAAAAAAAATGACGGCTGTGTGAGTAACTAAGGACTTCCGGACAATTTAAATATGCTATTTAGGTACGTTTCTTACCCAGGATCCATGTCCTAAAATATTGGTATAGAGTTCCGGGACACCCTAAGGATTTCAAATGTATCTATGTATCGTAAGAGTGTTTTAAGGTATCCAAAAATTGAAATCCATACACTGGTTGCACTGGCAGCTGGGATTTCCTTAAGGACGTGCCCTGAGTTATTACTCAAATATACTGAGGCACACAAAAATACTCTGAGCGTTGTCTCAAATTTCTGGCTAGTTTTTATTCAGTGGATAGACAATAGAACTTTTTGCTTTACATTTATGACCATCAGTATGAAATTACGGACATTTATTATTTCAGAGTATCTTTATTTGTAGAATTAAAAACACTCTAAATACTATTCAACAAAGAATTCAACATATAAATTACATGTACGAGAATAAGAGTTTAAAATGTTAAGAGTCAAGGACGTACGCAGAAATTGTAAATTTACACTTGAAAGCAAAGGTCACACTTGTAAAATTTTTTTATTAATTAAGTTAATTGAATTTTTTTAATCACTCAAAAGGATTCACTTTATAAAAATGCCCAAAAGTGTAAAAGTTTAAATTTTGTGAAAATATAACTTTACAATTAATTGTAAATAAAGTATTGACATTTCTTTTGAAACAGCCACACAACCTGAACGTGGTTGAAAAAAATGCTGGGTGTAGATTAGGTGTGGTTATTAGTGTAGCTTTATCACCAATATCAGCTGTTTCTTTACTCAGTTCCATTTATAAAGGACATTTTTCAGTTTCGAACCATCAGCTGACTTTTCACAGGATCAAACAATCAACCTTTTGATTGTTTGTCACACACTACAACCACTCATCTATGTAAAGCGTAACAAATATTACCTCATAGGTGGAAAAGACGGGCAAGGTGTTATTGAGCAGTGTAGCCGTGACTCGGTGGGTGAAAACAATCATTGCCGTTGACAACACTCTCATCCCATGTAGACAGGATATGTCGTCTGCAGCGTTACCGGCCTTAGTGTCTACCAGTTCCCTCCAATTGCGTACCAGAGAAAACGCTGCGACAATATCTGAAATACATTGAGATATTAGTGAAATTGAAATCAATACAGTGGAACCTGGGTAAAAATAGTCTTCAATGGAAAGTGATTTTAACATCCTTATCATATGTTATATAGTAAAAAATATGTCAATTTAGCAATATCATGAACAAAATGCTATGGGACAAAATGCTGCGTAGAATATATACGCTGAATATGAGTGTAGAATGAAGTGAATGAATCTTTTGTTGCTTTTTGTTACCTACTGACAAAGATCAACTGTTTCATTAGACAGAATCATTCATTTAAAGCCCAAATGATCAGCTGCCAAATGATGACAGCTGGGTCCAGTTTTAAACCATCAAAAAGGCTTTCCTCAGGATCAAACGGGAGACCTATTGATTGTTAGGCGAGCACTTTAACTCGGCAGCTAAATAACCAGCCAGTCTGTATAATAAGTTTAACTCAATTAATTGGAAACAATTATTTGGTGTCATTAGTTTTTGTTAAAATAAATAATCAAATGCCTCCCTCCTGCAATTAACATAGGCAATGATGCACACCTAAAAGAAGTGTTGATGTCTGATAGTTGTAACATTTTCTTACCTGATTTGTGTCCTGATGAGTACGTATCCTTGATCGTACTATACAGAACCACTGCCAAAATACTAAGAAAAACTGACCTGGGAAAAAATTGAATTGGAGTTATCAAAATGTAAATATAAAAAAATTACCGCTGTCATATAAAAACCAACTATATTGTCATCACAATATAAAAAAAAAATACTATTTTGAGAAAGAAGGTTGAATAACTTAGGCTACTCATAACTCTGTCCCACATGGCTATAAAACATTCAAGAAACTCCCAGGGTCATCTAATAGCAGTGGCGGCTCTAGGACCTTGTCTAGGGGGGGGCTCCGGGGGGTTTGGGGGGTGTGGAGCACCCCCCAACATAAGAGGGGGGTCCTTTTAAAATTTTAAAGCCGTTTGGTGACTTTCTAAAGCAATTTTAATGCCTAAAACTGTGTCCAATAATAGTCCAAAAACTCCCATTTCACCTGTTGTTTGTCATGCATGAGCAAATAGACATAAGTAGAATAAAGTAAAGTATATTTTTTAAATAGTTTTTACCAATTTATTTAATAGATCAGATTTATTATCCCAATAGAACTAGGCCTATATTAAATATGAATAGATATTGCAAAACATAACAATTAATCCTCTATTGTGGTTTCTATTTCATAATTCAACTTTTTAAACCTAGTTTTAATCCTACTGCTCAATTTCGGAATTTTGGGGGAGGGGTTTGACTCTCTAACCACCCTCCCTGCCTACGGCCTTGTAAAACGGGACTACACTGTATTGAAAATATAACTAACAATTGATAATTTAATATTAAAATACCCCCACCGCAGCAAACCTGCCGTCTAAGCGAATTTCCATTTGGCTGAATTGATTTTCAATCAATCTATTTAAATAACATTAGGTTTAACGAGTACCTAGGTTTGCTGCCACAAGAAAACTAAAAAAGTGTGTGTTTTAAGTAAAATAATTATTGCTTAGTAGAAAATGAATATATTTGCCAAGTTTGATCAAAAGATATCCATAAACAAGCAAACTACAACATTTTACAATATTCTCCATAAGAATAACATGGGAATTTTAAATTTACAATTTTTTTAGTTTTCTCCGTAACCAATAACCGTACAAAAACACTTTGATATACTGAATTGTTTGTTTTTTTAAGCTCTTTAAGAAGGTTTAGGTAAAAATTGGGAAATTTTGTGTTTTGAGGGTCAAAAGTGAGAAAAACCAATTTTTACCCCATAAAACCCCCCATAAAACCCTGTTCCCATGGTCCGATCATGCTGGATCGCGAACTCATTCAAGTTTATCCCGCCTTACACCTTCAAACCAAATTTCATCAAAATCGGATAAAAATTACTCAAGTTATCGTGTTCACGGACACATATATATATATATATATTATATATATATATATACATATATAAAAATTTGAACGAATGGTGTTTTTGGCCTCTGGGGACATCAAAATGAAAAAGTAAATCGGTCCCGGGCCTAAGTCTTACCATGAGACCTACGGTAATAGCTACTTCCCTATAGGGAAATTCGCTAAAATCCACGGCAATAATGAGTAGATAACCAAACGGTAAGGCCTGACAATGATTGAATTGTATAATTTAAACACCCACGGCAATAACGAATAGAAAACCAAACCATGAGGGTAAGGCTTGACTAATTGTATTTTATATTGAAACATCCACGGTAATATGAGTAGAAAACCATACCATGAGGATAAGGCCTAACTTTAATTGTACTGTTTGAATGTGAAATCCATCCTCCTTTCTTTCTGCCCGGCGAAGTGATCTATTACTTTTTCGTTGAAGTTTAAAGTTGACAACAGCTTTTTTTCGATAGAACACATAGCAAGCGCACTTAGTCTGTCTTGTTTCATGGTACTCCTGGTAAACGTTTTAATTCGTTTCAAAGTAGAGAAACAACGCTCACTTTCCGAAGTAGTCATAGGTATTGTGCTTATGATTTTTAATAGTTTGATTGACTCTGGAAGCACATCTTTGAGGTTGTTGTCATAGACAAAGTTGAGTAGTCTTAATGACCCTGTGGCCGTTGAAAAATCATCCCTATTGTAAATAACATTTAACTCCTGTTTCAATTCAGTTTTATTTAGGCTAAATAGTTCCGCAGCAGCGTGTAACTCTTTTTCGGGAAACTTGGTTTTAAACTCCCCAAACAAACTTGGCTGAAACAGTTTTGCCGCGGACAAATGATTTACAAACGTAAAACGGTCATCAATTCCCGACGTAATTATGTCACACACTTCCTTTGCGACAACGCGTTTTTGATCGTCGTATCTTCTCCGCTTTTTGCTCGATTCGGGTTCACTATCTCTCGGTTGATCTAACATGGTCGAGTTTCTTACGCGATCTACCACAGTTTTGAAATCGCCTACAAACTTAAACGCCTTGACGCAATCAATTGTTGTTTGCTGCAGTTGGTTGTACAGAATGTCACTGTGGGGCAGTATTTGATTGAAAAAGTCCAGCCAGAAAATAAAGTCTTCGTCTTTTAGAATACTTCTTAGGCCAACAGCTTTATTTATTGTGGCATAGTCATTGGTGTCATCGTCGAGTATGTAACTTAAACATTCCTCCAACTCTCTTTGATAATTAAAAATTGTGCTTACAATTCTGGATTTAAAATTCCACCGAGTACCTGAGCTTTTTGGAATACGACGTTTTACTATCTCATCGAGAACTGCAGTTCTCTTTGTTGACTGGGAAAAGAATGATGAAAACCCCTCGATATTACTGAAGAATATCTTAACCTGCTTATTTTGTGTAGCACTGCGTTCAATGATTAAGTTTAATTGATGTGCGTAACAGTGGACAAAATTTGCATTCTTATATTTAGATTTTACACGCGCTTGTACTCCCGTGTGTTGGCCACTCATTACGGAAGCCCCATCGTAGCTCTGGGCAATGACTTTATCAGGAGTTTTGTCGAGGTTTAATTGCTCTAATACTTCAAAAATTGTTTCGCTAACTGATTCTGCATCATGGCCTTTTGGTCTAATAAAAGTGATAAATCGCTCGTGAATCGTGCCATTCAGCTCGTACCTAATAACAAATACTAGTTGGGATAAAGTGGCACAGTCTGTTGTTTCGTCGGCTTCAATAGCAACATAGTCGGTTTGTGTCAATTCGTCACGAATCATTTGCAGACAAACGTAATATATTGAGTCCAATAACTCGTTCTGTATGGTTTTAGACAGACCCAAAAACACTCGGTTATTTGTTTGATTTATGTGCTGTTGCAATGTTACATCCAGCTCCGCCATAAGGTTAACCAAACCACGAAATATGCCAGGATTTTTTGAATTTTCGCGTTCATCATGTCCTCGTAATGCTAATTCAAACGCTCCACAAAATTTAATTGCATCAATTAGCTTACTTAGAATGTATCGATTTTTCGAAACATCTTCATTTTGTTTTTGTATTTTTAACCTATATGCATTGTCCAATTGGCATCTAATATCAACTTTACCTAAAACAGCATATTCTATTGACGCATTTATGTGTTTTTCACTTGTTTTGTGTTTCTTTACTTTTTCCAGTAGATGTTTAAGGTCTGAAATCCCGTCTACAGTCCATGCTCTATCTTGAACCCCCATGACCAAACAAGTGTAGCAGAAAAATGAATTTTTAATTGAACAACCACATAGCCAATCTGCATGATTGTACATATGTGGCGAAAATTTTCGTGTGAAGCTATTCTTATTCTTTGAACTGTTTTGAATTTGGTTTATGTTCATGAAAGGTCTAGGAGGTCCTAATTTTTTCAAAGAAATTCTGTGGTCAATATTTTTGATCCCTTCATTGATAATCAGGCTAACTTCATTAGTGACGTTAGCCGTCGACGACAACGAAATGCCGCCGTCCATTATTATTTAGATTTAGGCCTTCAACCCACGGCAAATTTACCCGTAATAACTTATTAAGACTAATAATAAGTAACTATAGCTAAAATTGTCCGAGTCACTTTACCTATGGTTAGTTTACTTCATTTTCGGGTTGATTAGGTTAGCCTATACTAAAACTACAGACGTAACTTATTGACTCAAAAATACCAACTAACTAACTCAATCAATTAAGTATAACTATTAATAATTTCTACTTAGCTCTTTCAATCTTCAACAAACTACCGCTGCCTTCCTTAGGCCTCCATCACTATCACTAAACACTATTGATCACAAAACAACAGGTCGTTTGGCACTAAACTATAACTGAACTGTGGTCATGGACATGGAAAGAAGTGAGGTTAGTTTATGTTTATGGTAGTGACAGTGTGGATGATGGCTCCAGCGCTGCCAACATGGTTCTTCCTATCCTAATCGTGTGTGATGCAGAATTATCCAGTTTAGGGTGGCTGCCCTGATTTATGGATGCGCGCGCAGCTTTGGACTCTGCCCCAGAGTCCCTATTGTAAAGCATTGGAATGACGTCACGGCACCCTCAGCGCTGTTAGGTGTTTCTACCATAACACTACATGCATTGAGTTTGGGACGGAGGTTGCCGCCATCCGCAATCCACATTATGAAAGCGACTATCGCAAAACAGTCATTACTGGATTCAAAATTTAAAACTATTTCATTTCATATTATTATAATATTGATTAAGTAGTCGTAAGTAATTGTAATTTAATTTTAATTACGACATATTATTTTTTTATTACATAAATAAAAAAAATATTGATTTCTGTATTGTTGGGAGGGCGGCGTCCGAGAGTCCTTATGGGCTAGCCGCTACTGTCTAATAGTTATTTACGTGTTCCAGCAAAACTGTTCAATGTTGGCTCCAACCTTCTCCATAACTGCCTAAATCTGGTCCCATCATCTCCTGTTTTGGTCTCCCACAAGGTCGCCTTCCTTCAGGATTACATTTGGTTATCTATATATTTAATACGCTAGGCATATTTTTGTCACAAGTGTTTTGGAGTGGTGGTGCTACCCATCACCATGCCTAAGGTGTCGTTAGAAAGGTCTTAGCATGTAGTTTTGCAATCAAACAAAAAAAAACTTTGGAATTCCATCAAGGCTCTGCTTTAGTGGCCTTTGTTCCCATATTATTCTTAGGGAGAAAATGTTTGTTTAGATTTGAACAGATGAATACTTTTAAATCGACACTAATATTTGAAACAGCTGGTTATACTAAAATTGGAGACATGTGCTATAAGGTTTATTACATCAGAAGGAGACTGGAACAAGATTGGGAGATGGGCCATTTTCGAATGCAGTTTGTCACAGGCATCGATCTCTATCTCTCAATGGTCACAGGACATGGAAAATTTAAAGGCCAATTTGTGGAGATTTAACTTGGTGGAAGAGGAAGATGAAGTATGCATCTGCGCAAAAAAATATCATTTATTGATGAATTGTCCACTTCAGGAGGCAAATAGGAGAGAACAGGAAGAAGTCTTGTATAGGAAAGGAGATGAGAAAATAGACCTTGATGAGAGACAAGGAAACAAATGAGATGTTTAGGAAAGTAGCTAGGTAAGTAGGAAGAACCAAGGGTGCATACAGACACACAGGCTTTTAAATTGGAAAAAATAAACAAACAAAGAAAAGGAATTAAAACTTCCCTATGAAGGAGAGAGGAAAGGTTAGAGCTAATCCCAATGATCAGCCAGGGTGGTAGGGGGAATTGTTATCCATGCTGTTAGGGTTTTGGACAGATAGTGTGTCTGGACAAGGATTGAAGGTGGCCGAAGCCTAAGAAGAAAGAAGATTTTTCACGGGGAATCGGCCTTTTACCATCTCCACCTTTAACAACAAAACCAAGAAACCAGAAAACGCCAAATAAAAAAAATCTACATTAATCCTTCTCCTATCTTTAGATTGTGCACGATTACGTGCGCAAGGTTCACTAGTTTTCTTTAATGAAGATTCTTCTTCCCTGCTAATTTTGTTACTGTTTACCTCCCAGACAGCACACTTTATCCCAGGGACATCCCATAGTAGTCCCATATGTCCTGAGAATGTCTCGGGATATGTGCGCTATCCTCAGGATATCCCGCAAAATCCCGGGACGAGTACGAAATCCACAGGATATCCTACAATATACCATAATGTCCCGGGATTTGTAAGTTAACCTCAGGATATCCTGTAAAGTCCCGGGATATGTACGAATGCCATAGGATATCCCAGAATGTCCCATGACATCCCGGGACATGTACAAAATCCACTGGATATCCTGTAATGTACCGTAATGTCCCGGGAACAAACTGAAGAAAAAAAATACTACCACTGATGAAATGTACAGTATATCTAAATTTAAATGTTCAACAAGGCCAATATATAATAATTTGTTTTTTTCACTGGTGCTTTCAGAAACTTGGTTTCCATCTTCAGGCTGTGTTTACACTAGTACAAAAAGTAAATATTTACTTAACACGTTCGCTGCTGAGCGCTAGATGCCGGGACGGCGCCAGTTGCTGAACTAACGCTCGGCCGCTGCGTGACATTGCCACCGATACACTGAATTACATTAAAAACAACAGTAGTTATACTGGATGGCAATGTTCTGCAATAAAACTGGCTTTGGATATAGTACTAAGTGATTCTGATAGATAGCAGCACTACCCAGGTTACAGTCGTTAAAGTAGTGTCGCTATCTAGCAGGAAAGAGGTAAAACAAAACCCTGTTCCAAACGACCCTGGTGGTGATTTGGGAAACTATATTTTTTATTGTCAGAAAAGTACGTCCCCACGAGCTGCAAAGAAATATAGAACGCTTGTGACGTGCTGGCTTATCCATAGCAACGTTAAACAACAATGAACGGTGACGTTCTGGAACGTTCTTAGCTCCTGGCGCCGTGGCCCGGCTGACGTTCCGGAACGTCCGTAGCAGCGAACGTGTTAATAAATTAATTTTAAACAAAGTTAAAACAGATGATTTAAAGGATATTGGAAAAATAAAAAAATAATATTAGAAAAATTAATCTTTTGAATTTTGGATATGTTACAGTGTTGTTCTTGATGTAATTATTTTCAGTAATTCCGAATTTATAATTGGGCCGTCTTCATTATTTAACAAATAATTTTGGTCTGTTTTTTTTTCTAAAAATAAGATTCCCACGCATTAAGATGTTGAGGTTATATAATTTATTTTAAAAGTTTAAGGTTTCCCAGATTGAAAATATGTCTTGTTAATACTATGGCTAGCAAGGGTTGACTTTACTTTACTGACATATTACTACCACTGAGTTCAGGAAAACTAGAGTTCTATCATAGTTGTGTGAAATGTGAATTTAATTATAACTTTAAATTAATAAAACAACAAAAAACTAATTTTAATCATATAACAATCAATTATTACAGTGCTAATCTAATGGTGATTAAATCATCTATATTTCAAATACCAGTATCCTCTCCAACTACCAGAAAAACAATTCAACTACTTGAGGTCTAAACAGATTAACAGAACCATCGCCTATACTGTAGTATCAAAAATATTTTAAGTATTGCGACCATTGCAACTGTCGGCTACTCTTTAACCACTTGAAAACACCCACAATCAACAAGCGCAGATAGCTCAGGAGGTAAGGTAAGAGGCTCACAAGGCGAAGGTACCAGGTTCGAAACCCGTCTGGGCCAAAAACTTTTTTCTCGTTTTTTTCTTCAAAATTTGTGTTTATTAACTATTTAATCAATTTACTAAACTTATAATTAAGCTTTTCATACTAAATCTATATTATTTTGTGTTTTTTATGTTCAGGCCCAGACCACACTTTATCCCAGGGACATCCCATAGTAGTCCCATATGTCCTGAGAATGTCCTGAGGACTACCCTGGGATGACCTCGGATGTCCCATGGATATGCGTGTGAGCTTATCCGTAGGACATCCCCGGGCGGGGACATTAGGCATTCCTGTGGATATCCTGTGATATCCCAAGTTGACCATAGGACCACTATGGGATATCTTGCATATCCTGTCGCAATATCCGTGGGATGTCCTGAGGAGAAAGTGTGCTGTCTGGGCCTCACTAACAAAGTCTACACTATTGTATAGAGCCCTAATCTCTCTGTTATGTGAACGTTTTCGTCATTATACTCATTATGCTTATGGACACATATTTATATGCAGGTATTTGAACAAAAAGGGACTTTAGCTTCAAGAGAAGTAAAATGTAGTCTATCTTTACCTTTTTCGTAGGTCTAACAGTCTAACCACAAATACCTCACTAATAGCTGCTCCCTACATTTCAGTGATATTTATCACTTACATGGCAACGTAGTCCATTACTCTGTAGGGCATTGGCTGGATAGTAGAGCAACTGTTATCGTACATAACAGAGGAGGCGTTAATGGACGCTAGGACACGGTCCATATGGACTTGGACGTCTCGGGCAGAGCAGCTGGACGGAACACACACAGAGAACGCCAAGTCCAGCAACAGGAACCATCTCTCTAGGCCCATCTCTGGGGGCGCGTCCGACAACTGGGGAACAAACATTGGAACTATCTCATACCTTTGATTATGGATAAATCTAGACATTCTATTCCAAAAATGTTACCTTTCACTGTTACTGAGTCATAAAAATAGTTTTTTTTTTAAGTTAGAAAAAACTTACATCAACATTTAGCAGGTTGTGCAGTTCTGGCGGAAGTATTCCCCTGGTTTCCACCAGGCAATGTTGTCCAGTGAACATTCCGTTTGGTCCAACATTCTGGATACACTCATAGTAGTTACCGAGATCTATCAAACTTCCATCTAGAAGTCCGCTGGGGAGTTTAGTGGATGCGTCAAGCACTGTAAATGAATGATTACAAAGATTTTCGGAATAAATTATTGAATATTGGCATTTGGAAAATGACCGTGTCGTAAAACTGATGAAAATATTGGCCGATGCTGTGAATGTGTTGCAGCAATCTATGTTGGGACAGTTTACAATATATTCAGTTCAATTTTATTTTGTCCCGAAGGGATTGCTCCAACGCATTCAAAACTACAGCCTAATATGCTGTCCAGTGGTGTATTCATAAAATGTCCAGTGCGGGAACACTCACTATTGTCCAAAAACTGACTGACATAGAAGATTTAATGGAAGATTCTTGGAAAAGGCAGAATGGGAATGAGTTAAAATAGGTACGACCCTCAAAAATAAAATTTAAAAATCATAGCATTGGTGCTGTTTGTTATCGGACTATCAACATTTTCTGCAGCTTGTTCAAAAAAGTTTGTAAAACCACATTTTTGTAAGCTACAGCTTAGAAAAGAGTTGACTAATTTTTCTATTCTATGAAACCTCGGAAGAAGTTTTAGAGTAGGATATATCAGTGCTGCTAAGCTACATTTTATCAAGTTTTTTATGAGTTTTTGGAGAATACTTGTGTCAGAAAACTAGATGAAATCCCTTTTTCAAAATCACCCTACTTAGCCACATGGCTTTTTGTAAACGTAAACATTTGGGAATCTTACTTTATCCGGGGAAAGTAGAATTATACAATTCCCTTAGTCCTGAATCGATTCACATCCCTCCATCCCCACCAACTGTGTAATTTTTTTAAACCTGGACTATAATATTAGTGAAACGGTCAGTAATAAAGATTCCTTTGCTCATTTTCGTCTTAAAATTCACCTTGGTGAGTAAGCGTCGTAGACATTTTTTCTAATCTAACTTGACGATATTGATTACACCAAACATACTCACTACGTAGGGCCCAAGTCTCTCCCTCGACGATGGAGTCGACCACCAGCTGACTGTCCTGTCTACATCGCTCGGTCTCGGCATAGACAGGCACTCTTTGTTGTACAAATTCCTTCAGTACCCTCTGGAACTGAGTTTCCGGCAAAGGTAACACCAACTGTCGAACATCCCTGGCTCTCTCCCGCAGTTCTGGCTCTAGGCGGTTCACCACTTCTAAAACTGCCGAATTGAGAAATTTAAAAACTGATAAAAATTCTTCTCTTACCGAATGAATACAAGCAAGTCTTTCAACCCTTGTACCTATATAGTTTTTTGTTAAGTTCTATCTATTTTTGGAGGTTTTAATCGTTTAAGATATAACACCCTTTGTTTTTGAACAAGTTATGTTGTTGTTGAACAATTATTTGTTCTTCAATACTTCAATAAAATGTTTATTGACATTTCAAATTGCCTGTGTTTGCTCTTATTTCAATTATTATTTACTTACCAGTTTCTCTCGCTTCAGACAACTGTACGATCGATAACTGCAAACAAAATATATAAATCAGGATCCAACCAATTCAAAAAGATTTTGGAGAAAAAAAGTGGTATATTTTAAATGCTTTTGAAAGGGAAATTCAAATTTATAAAGCTAAAAAATGTTAAGCGTTTTATTTAATGTGGGGAGAGTAATTTTCTCAACCTCTCTAGGAAATACTAATTTGCCACCCTGAGTATAATTTAATGCGCGTGTCCTTGAGTTTCCGTTACAGTAGCTACAAATGTCCAATATAATTACATAAATATTTATTTCTTTCAGAATTGGTGGCCTCACTATTAAAATTTACAGATGTTCGTCCAATTTTAAAATGAAATGAGAGAATTAGTTTCTGAATTAAAAACTAATTTATTTATGTTGATAACTAAGCTAGGTTGATCTTAAACAATACCCCCGCCGCAGCAAACCTGCAGACTAAGCGAATTTCAACTTGTCTGATTACATTCTTAAAAAATAAAACAATTTTTCATTATAAAAAAATTATTGATACTGTTAAAATACTCACAGTAATAAAAAACATAACACTTACTATTGTGATTAGAAGAACGTAAGAAACAACCATAGACCAAATGTCCTGTTTCATTTTAAATAAAATACTACACAATTTCTTGTAGTTTTATCAATAACACTCTTAATCAATAAAAAAAGTATGTATACTTAAAAGGTATCACAGTTCACTTGGGCTGATGGATTTGTTCTTCATTTTGATAATGTAACTGATACAAACAATTTCAATTTTTTCCTGCATTCATAAGAATAGTAGTTTAAAACCTTCTCGCAGTATTTTAATTTTATCACAACAACATTATTGAGACGAATATAAAACTAAAAACAAATATAAAATTAAATGTAAACAAATTATAATCCAACTGTCATTTTAAAAGCGAAAAAGTTTTACAGACTAAACGAAACAATCTAACAATACTGTTCTTTGCCGACTGCATTTACAATGAGTTGTGACTGTATTTACTGATATTATCAGTTTGTTATCTTCGATAACATGACTGGGCTGACAAACTCCATGAGTATTTACGAGAGCATTACTTAATTGTTTTGCTCAGTGGTGAAGTCGAAAATTTTCGAGTGTGGGAATCATCTCTAGTGTTTTGGAAAAACCCAGGTTAAATATATAGGATTTTTGAAAAACATCAAGTTGGAATGCCATTCTCATGTGTTCCACCCCACTACACCTCTGGTTTTAATGATCAAAAGGTTTCCTACACTGATTTCTGTAGAGGGAATCAAAATAAAATCTTAACAAAAGACTGTAAAGTGAAGGTCGTAATAATTGCCCGAATAGCTGAGTGGTTATAGTGCTCGCATTCAAATCTGTAAGATGCATCCTTAGATTCAAAGCAAGATCTATTCTGGATCCGGATACAATTTTTAATTTGGTTTTTAATTAATGATGCTATCTAACATCAGGTCAATGTTTCATATTAAGACAAGAATTTGAATCGCTCTTTAAAAAAAAAAAAAACTAAATGCCAATGTCATAGATGAAAACAAATAAAATTATGGTTGTATGAACCTCTCAGGGTGTACTACTTTTAACATGATGCTTTCTTCATAAGTTTTGGTTACTATGATAGTTGATATAACATAACAGTTATTTTTAGTTCCCAATAAGTTGCCCTTTCAGTTTTAGCACAATTAAAAAAATTATGTAAAAGAGAAAGAACGGAATTTTTCTGCAGCCACTCTGCAGGTGGTTTAGTTGAACTAAACTTTTTTTATTACAAAATTGAGTACAATTTTAACATAGGAATTAAATGTCAACTTTACATACTGATATTGTATCTATGGTCAAAGAGTACAAAAAAAACAGATTGCCTATAAACAAGTAAATTAATACTTTATGTAGGCTATTAATTTACTTGTTTATAGGCAATCTGTTTTTTTTGTATAGGAGAATCAGTTTTTTGACTCCTTATTACTGCAAAGAAATTGATGTGTAAAGTACTGTAGAAGTAGTTATCACAGATTCATATCAGAGTAAATAAAGAAGTTTCACGTTTATTTTCAGGTCTCCAGTTCCCCTTTGGTAATTGAATGTTTTAGACTACCTATAATTAAATTGTTCTAAAGCTAAAACGAATTAATTGATGCAATTTTATTATGGTCTAAAGTATCTTTTAGTGATAGCTATTTTAACAATGTGAGAAAGTTAGGAAGGAAACCCCGGTTGTGTTGGTTAAACAGGTGTCAGATAAAATGGTGATTTTATTTTATCCTCTAGCTCTCATGGTAAGTGTTTTTATTTGTAAGAATTACATTTTAATCACCTTTTAGTTTATTCTCTAGATATTCCGGATTTTGTCCTGAAAAGAATGATTAAGTAATTATTTAAAATGGTATTTATTTCAGAAACGTATTGTGACTTTAGTAAAATCATAAAATACCCGTTATATTTATGTAAGCATACGGTATATAGATTGATTAAACTTTTTATCTGAATGGCTTTTAGAACTATACTTAATAAAAATGTGAAATCGTTTGTATTTCTATTTCCTCAACTACATCCAGTGGTGTAGTCACAAATTTTCCAGTGTGGGAACTCTAACCAGGGTTGAGAAAAATACGGGTCGCTTATTTATATATAAATTCTTTGTAAAAACAGAGTGAGAACACCGTTCCTGGCTCCTGCCCCCACTACACCATTGACTAAATCATTTTTTTTTACTAAAATAATTAATCTTTGTTTATGTTTCAGCTATGCAATGTGGAGGTGTTAGAAGCGAGAGAAAAAAGTAAGCTTTTGTCTGTATGTACTAATACGTTTTTTTTCATACTTCATTGTTTAGTTAACTGGATAAAGAATACAAATACCCAGTAAAAATCACAGTTTAAGTTTGGGACAACTCATTAGCAGAAGAATTATCATTTAAATAAATTAATAATAAAACCGTTGACTTTAGGATACCTAGTAAACATCCATCTATAAGGAACAGCTTTAATAGATATTTGTTAAGATATAACATTGATAAATAACTCTTACAGAGTGTGTGCTCCAGTTAAAAAAAATATTTTCCCTCTTAGTTTTCAACACTATGATAGCCGTTTTGAGATAAAAGATGCTAGTTTACTATAAGTTGTCATTTCAGTCTTGTTTGGTTAAAAGTATTTGGTGTGCGCCAAAGATATCATTCATTGATAGCAGCACACGTATTGTATTGTATTGTATTGTATTCTATCAGAAGTTCCGTCCAATTTTGTGGTACCTAGTTTCTTAAACTGCCTTCACCAAGGAAAGAAGTTCTATTATACATCCTAAATTGTGTCCATAGTCAAAGATTTAATCATAACATGATAGCTTTGCCGATTGATTTTTGCAGAGCACAAATATTTGCATTGTGAACCGTGTCTTTTACAATGATGGATAATTTTTAACATCTTCCCAAAATTAAATTCTGGAATGTAGCTGAGCCGTTATAGTCTAGCGCTTGTTCAACATCCTTAAACATCAGTAGTTGTCTGATAGTTCAATTATACGGCTTTTAAGAATGGTCCTGAGTCTTGACGAAATAAGACTAGCCGTTTACTTTGTCAGGACCACCTATCAGAAGTTCCCATAACTTCAATTATTATAATTGAGGATAGCTGGGTCCAGTTTTGAACCATCAAAAAGTTTCTCATGGTTTCAAGGTGTTATAACCAATAAGCTACCTACCTTGCTTTACTACAACTACAATTACCTATTTATAACCCTAAATCTATAAACTCAAGAAATGCTTATCACTAATATGATTGGTTCATCTTTTCACAGTAACACAGGTGATATCACGATTTGAACCACAGTTGCGAGAACGAGCAAAAACATTGCAAAAGCTAGCATTTCCTATACCAGAGGCAGAGTTTGAGGCTTTTGTCAAAGAAGTTGTGACCCAAAGAGTTCCTATAAATGCCGAGACCGAGCAATGTAGAGAAGACAGTCAACATTTGCTCGACTCCATTATCGGAGGAGAGACTTGGGCCCTTCACAGTGAGTATCTTGTAAAATTATAATTTTTGTTAATGAAACATACAAAACAGCTGATTGAAACCATAAATTGAAAAAGGTTCTCTCATAGACGTTACATCTGTGCGTGGGAACGAAATTATGATAGTCCTTACATGAGTCTTGAAGTTTTGTATTGCCCAAAAACTAATATATATGATGTTTTAAAGATATAGATTGTGTCAATTGGAATGTTGTGTTGGGATTGATGAGGGAAAGGCTCTCAACAACACTGAAAAATTAAATTAATCCAACAGAAATTAATTGTTGAGATTACTTTATATAATAACTAAAGTGCCAGCGGTGTGAGGAAGTGTTCTCGTGTGCATGTACATCCTGCAAGCCATTCTAATTTAAATTTATAGAAAAAATTCTATTTCAAAATTTCTTTCCGACCATTGTAGAGTAAACCATCAATAATTCTGTTCAGCATCTGGATTTGCTAATTTAATAAACGCGTACCTCACTTTTTCAGTGTTGGACGCTTCTACTAAACTGCCAAGCGGAATCCTTGATGGACGCTTCATAGATTCCGGAGTCTACAGTCAGTGTGTGAGAGTAGAAGAGCCGAATCAACAGTTCAAAGGTCAACACTGTCTCGTAGAAATTAGGAACGTTTTTCCTAAGGAGCTGCATCTGCTCTTCAACTATGATGTGAGTACAGTAGTTATTGTAAGATTTTTGCTCAGTTAATATTGAATTTAAATACTAATAGACTTCTCACATAAAATCTTAAACTTTTTTGTATTTTGTTGGGTAAAACTTTCTGTCTGTTTTCAGAGTGAATTTTACAGTTATCACTTTGCTTTTAGGTAGAAAACCAGAGGACAAGCAAATTTTTACGAATTTTTTGTTAATTATATTTGCTTAAATTAACAAGATCTAAAAAGTGAACATCAATGCAGTCATTCAATACTAGACTTAAAACACTCTATTATAGTCTGGTTTACATTGGTCGAGTAGGAGGACGATTAAAAATGTGAGTTAGAAGGATACTCTACCGTCAACTTGACCAGTGAAGACAATTTAACGAGTCAAGTGCCAAACCCAGCTGGTAGGGGAGTCGAGTAGCTTTGGCCAGGAGACAGCCTCTCGACCAATTCCTAGCACTCGCTCTACCCCTAACTCCGCCACCCTTAGTCTGCTGTGTCAAGTCGCAACAAGTAGCGTTTTTAGCACCCTTAGTACAAGTTTTAATTGTTTTTAAGTGTATATACTATTTTAACACAAAGTGGACGGAAGAGGAAACATTTTGAAATGCCTTTACTCTTTAGTATCCTCTAACGCCAGTTCAGTTAACTACTCTGATGCACCATGAGTGTCTCTTCTCTTTATCCAGTCTTTTACCCAAAAGCGTGTTTCCCTATTTATTTGTTCTTCCACCAATTCATCAACCTGCTCTACTAACAAATTGTACACCATTTTAAAATATCTTCAAAATGTAACAAAGTATTAAAGTATTACCTAACACCTTGTACATTAAGGGACATTTTACCTATAATTTACAAACTGTACATAAATCATCAAAACTTATGTGGTCAACTCGGCTGAATTAACTTTACCAATGTTAACACACTTTTCTGAAACATGACAACAATGCTGGGCCGAGCCAAATCGGCCGAACTTACTCGACCATTGTAAACCAGGCTATAATACTGTCTCCAGCTGATAATAAGGAAAGGATGGAAACATGCTCTGAGAGGTCTTGTGACGTGCTATGGGCTCGAGAGATATTTGGGCATAAACTTCAAAACTAAGTACCGGTACCTATTTTAACTAAATAAAACCATCTATTGGTAATCTCCTGCTTGGCATCTGATATTACTAAATAGACCAAAGTACACGTTACAAAGATTTATTTCTAAATAAAAAAATAAAAGCATGTTTAGAACCCCCATCAGCACCCTCTAGTCTTACCGACCAAAATACACATGTCAAAAGTTGTTAGTTAACCGCTTAAACCTGTTCAGGGGTTATAATAATCTAATTAAATTTTCCTTTAACAACAACCAAAAATTCACAATCTTCAATCCTGAGGATTTTGATTCAGTACCATGTTTTATACCAAAACGTTTTAAATCTTAAATATTAAACTATGGTTTGTCGTCACAGCTGTCCAACGTGCCCAGAGAAGTGGTGGGGGTTCTACCCCACGCGAAGGATCTTGCAATGTCTGTGTGTGTTCCGTCCAGCTGTTCGGCCCGAGATGTCCAAGTACATATGGATCATGTCCTGGCGTCCATTAATGCCTCTTCTGTTATCTACGAGACCAGCTGTTCTACCAACCAGCCAATACCATTTAGTTTCATGGAACGTGTTTTGATGTAAGTTAAAACATTCATGTCTACTGGAAGCTGTTGTATAGATCATTAAAAAATAAAGAAAATTGTATAGATTAACCAACGTATCGTGTTCAGTTCTTCAGAATGTATTGTTTAAATAGAGTTGATTGTGTTATTTCAAACCCAAAATCAATTTCATACCATCTAACTTTTTTATTCTACTTTCAGTATTCTGTTTTTGGGCGTTGTCATCTTAGTTTGCTGGGCTACAGTCAAAGATGCACAACCTACTAATAAATCAGGTATGTAAATAAATTATTTAAGACAAGATTATTCTTTTTTTTTGGACTATTCTCTAATCGATCATTGATGAAATATACTTTGAAACTCGCAAATCTCTTCTTGAGTCGAAACAGCAACATAAAAATTCAGTAGCTTTTTGATGAATTCAAACTGGACCTTGCTACTCTCAATCATTGGGCTTATATACAAAAATCTGTCTATAGAACTGGCTAATCTTGGTAACAAATCTATCAACTCATCCATTCAACATTCATCCTTGCCTTGGAATAAGTAACTGGCTTGGCTTTGTTAGTGTCAAAACCTAATCTTATCTTGTGCAGTGGGAGTGAGGTGGTCTAGTGGTAGAACGTAGGAATGGCGTAGGGCTTCGGAGCCCAAGGTCTTAGGTTCAAATCCCGTCAAGCACTATAGATTTTATCCGTGCGATAATGCCACGACCCTCTAGGAGTAAACTGAAGTAATGTGTAAAATCATTTCCCAGCTAGTACTTAGCATCCTAGGATGTAAAAGTTGTACGTATAATCTAATCCTGTGCACTGGTTTTTCCGCACAGTGTTGGCTTCCTCATTCTCCCTGCGCCGCTCCTGGAGGCAACTCACCGACTCCCGCACTTCTTCAGAAGAAGTTAGCTGCATGGCTGGTGTCAGAGTGTTCTTCACAGTTTCAACCGTCTTCATTCACTGCTTCCTCAAGCGTCTCTGGGACTCATCACTCAGTCCTCTGATTGTAGAACAGGTAAGGTTAGAAAGGTTTACCATGACGCAGGAGTTTTGTTATTTGAGATCTCTAAACTATGGGTAATAGTTTGTAGAACTGTTTGTGTTTTGCGTCAGCCATGTAAACATTGTATTCCCGCTTAAGTTTATACCTGTGAATTCAGTCTCAAGATGATTCAATTTAAATTTTAAAGAGAACACAATCTCATCTCATGAAGACAAAGATCAAAATTCTTATTGTGGTAGTAACCCACATCACCGCCAATAATTATATATATTGAGGTAAGAGTCAACCCCATCGGCTGATCCAAAGGCAGGCAGACAGCTCTAGTCGGACCGAGACTAGCGCTCCAACCGGAAAAGACCAACCGCCGGCAAGCAGGTTTGTCTGAGATCCGTCGCCGAAGAAGAAGGTGGTCCTGATCCTTGGTCAACAGTTGGTAAAGTACCGATAATGTCTAATTAATTGTAATCTTTTGGGGGATAAAGGGGGTAAGGGGTATCTTTTCTAAATTAGGGCAGGTTCAACCAACAATAAATTAACTGATGTAACTAAATTAACTTTACAATTATCGATATCATGTTTAGGGCAAGTTGCTGCAGGCGAATTTCAATGGCGAGGGGTAGTTAAAATTAAATAAAAATGTAGTTAATGAATTTATTCACGACTTATCAAAGCTGGCTTACGCTGGGCAGGGTTTACGTGAGTGCTATTGGGTAGTGGAATCAGCACGATATTTATTAAATGTGGATCTAGCTGGGTTAATTCCAGTCAAGACCCCACAGTTGGTAGCAGAGCGTGGTTCCGATCCACGGACCTCTGGGTTATGGGCCCAGCACGCTTCCACTGCGCCCATAATCACATAATGGCCTTTGAAACGAGTTTTTGATGGACGCACTCACAGTAAAGGAGAGGGGAAAAGTAGCAAAATATAGATCAAACGTGCACCTAAAAAAGAATCAACCCTTATTCCTGTCAATTTTGATTTGAATCATCCACCATTGAGGTGTTGTAATTAAAGCAAACGCTATGACAGTCAAATGAGTTCATAAGTCGTACTTAACAACACCTTACCAAGTCATGATTCACATGAAAAAACTCTTTGCTTACAAGAATTTATATCAGCAATTCATGTAAAAAAACCCCCGATAAAAGCTGTACCTGGTATAGACTGTACCCGGACAACAAGCTAAAAACTACTACACTAGGATGTTTGGGTATATGGTGTAGTTCATCAGCTGGTATTTGATGTGTGGGTTCTTTTTAATTTGCAGTTCAAGAATTTTACCTATCCCTTCGTGTCAAGCTTTAATAATGGAAAACATGCTTATAGATAACCTAACAACTAATAATTTCACCAGGAACTAGGAAGCTGGCACATCCTCTGGATTGAGTTTGGCATTCGTAGTCCCGAAGTGTTTTTCTTATTCGGAGGCATCACCAGAACTCTGGGGTTTCTGCGAGAGCGAGCGAAAGAAAAACCATTCCAGTTTGGTGCTGATATTTTGAGGCGTTACTTCAGGTAAATGGACTAATCCTTTCAAACACAGGCAGATCTATAGAGGAAACAAATCAAATCATAATTAATTTGTTTACTCACAGAAGTAGTTTAAAAGCATCTGAATAACTACATCGCAAAGTTGTGTAATGTAATTAGAGGTTATCAATTAGGAATTTTCATAGTCATCTTTATGATTTTTAGGGTGGGTGTTTCCTTCCTTTCCTCCCTGTAAATCCAACACTCCTTATTGCAAAACAGGTTTGAAAAGGTTTGTTATGTTCCTTAGGTTTTTCACAAACTTTTAACATTTTGGCTACCTATGGCTCGTAAATGAGCTGCACTTAATCCAATGGTATAGTCAGCTCTATTCACAATAGCTTATAAAGAGTGCAGAGAAATAACTTGGATGTTTACACCTTCTAGAAAGCAATTCCTATCTTTTAGACAGCCCTACAAATGCTTAAGGTGTAATTAAACATGTTTGCTAGGGAGGGCTTCTTTCTTAACCTCTAGACAATTTTCTGTAACACATCAACTATGGATCAATCTTTTTTTTAAATTATCATTTTAATTTATACAGCCAATGTTTATAGCTAATTTTCTCATCTTTGCCCCCAGGTATACTCCGACTCTGGCAGTTGTGATGATATTCTCCGCCAACTTCCTGATGAGGTGCGGCTCGGGTCCGTTCTGGACCAGACAATCGATGCTGTCAGCCTGGGGTTGTCGCAACCTCTGGTTCACCGGGCTGCTGCATATCTCCAACCTGTTGTATCCCAGAGTGGCCGTAAGTATTGCTTGACCCTTTACTTGATTATAGCCTTCGGGGACGTGCCCAGCACAGAATAATTCATTATCATTTCATTGATAACATTCGTTGATGGATAGAACTTGAAATTTCACCCTCATGTTAAAGATGGTACCAGTTTTTAAATGTAAATGGACGTGGTTGAGTTAAGGCACCAACTGAGTGTGTTTTACTAATGTATGTTGCATTTACAGTAGTAATTTTTATCCAAACTGGAACTCAACTTAATGTAAACTATTGCCATCTTTAGTCATAAAAAACTATCCTAGTTTAAATAACCAATAGAAACAAAGAAAGTTTACATCAGTTGGATAGAGCTGCCGACAGAGTATGCTTATTTAAATTATTGATTTATGTTGAATACACCTTCCTTTTATAACCATCTCAAACCAATATGATGACTATTGTAAGCTCTTTTATGCCACATCAACTACTGTGTGTATTTCAGTAACAAAAACTAAACTGTGAATAAGGATCCGACATTGTGTTGAATGAATGATCTTTGTTTCTAACTAAGACTAAGATTAGTTGGACCATTTACTAAAAGAAAATGATTTGATTAAGAATAGTCCAATTTAATACCATAAAACTATTCTCTATGGGAAATTCCCTCTAAGCTTCTGACTTTTGTTAGGATCAACTGCCAAATTACTGATTACCAGCTGAGCGTTATATTCATTCAGCTTCCCAACTTAAAATCATACTTGTGTTAAATAAAATTATTGTTTCAATCCAAACCAACTATTGCTAAAAATCAAATACCAAAGTGAGGTTATGATCTGTTTCAGTGTGTTCAGCACAGCTGGTACCTGTCTATAGATTTTCAGCTGTTCCTCATTTCTCCGCTGTTCCTGCTACAACTCCATTACGATCCTCCAATAGGAATGTTGCTAATCGCTGCTGTTGCCGCTGCGTCAATCTTTACTAACTTTCTGGCCGCCGTCGCCACCAGTGTTGATGCTCCTTCTTTGGCCATTATGTGAGTTTTTTTCATGAACAATTAATTTTGGACCATGTATAACACGATACTTAAATTGAATTATTGTAAAAACGGTTACCCCACCAGTTTTTTTTGCGTAATGTTATATCAACTAATCAGCAGTTGACTGTTGTGTTAAAGTTATGGTGAGGTGGAGGGGATGGAATTGTTTTCCCTCAAACCGTCTAAATTTTGTAAATGGAGTCTAATACACTGTGTGTAATATAAACTTAAAACTGTATTATAAACAGACATATACTTTCTCCCACTCAGCCACAAATCCATATTTAAATTAACGTAATTGGTGGTATTTTGTTTGGAATAAAATTATCTTCAAATTACCGTATAATAATTATATAAAAATCGGTTTTTGAAAGATTTTTATTTTTCTGATTTCAATTTTTGTATGGGTGTTAAGGTTTATTACTTACATAATGCCACATTTCATGAATATTGGATTGCTAGTGTAGGTTGTGACTCTGTATTTAACATTACATCCATTGCTTGGGCTTGTGGTTGGTTGTATGGATGAGTAACCGACTTATGAATAGATGCAAAATGCTAGACAAGCTTTTAAATCACAACCATTCCTAGTTCTTTTAAATACAACATCAATGTATTTTGAACAACCAACCTTATTTATTTCAACCCAGGTACAAGAACCGGATGGGGAATGAGATCGTCAGTGAGATCTACTTCTCCACTCCTTACCGCACATTTCCATACCTGCTGGGGCTGACTTTGGGTTATTTCATCTTCACAATGAAACAAGACAAGATAAAAGTGAAAATTCCAAAGGTAAGTACTTTATGTTGATCTTATGGAGCTCTTAAACTTTTTAAAGGAATCTTAAAAGAATTCTTCATACGTTTACGATACTGTCTAACAAAAGGTACACAAGACGATGTTAGAACCTAGAAATGCTTAATTAGTTGATAATTAATTTAAGGCATTCATTTTAGTAAGGCGATTATTTAAACAAAATAATAAATAACTTTGATGTCTTTCACCAGTTGATGCGCTGGCTAGGTTGGTCAGCTACTACGTTGGTGATGTCTACTTTGTTGGTAGTGTGCCACGTGATGTTAGACCCGAGCTACGAGAGAGTCGCTTGGTTTGATGTTGGCTACACTGTGCTCGGTAAGCCGATGATCGCTTTATCTGCAGCCTGGGTCGTGATGGCTTGTCACCTGGGGTATGGAGGTACGTTTTGAGTACAGTTAATGGTGGTACAGTGAATATTTATAATTTTGGATCTGAAAAAGATTTAAAGGACTTTATGAAAAGTATGCATGTAAAAGTCAAAAGTGCAGAGGTGGTTGCAGGTATAGCTCCCTCCTAGGTGTAGAAAACCCATGTCGAAGTATAGTTTATGGAACTTTTTGTTTAGCTATACAGGCTTAGATAGTTGTAAAAGTAAGGTTTTGTTACTGTAGTGTCCAATATATCTATCTTTGGAGCTGAAATGGTTCAAATTTCATTCAATAAACCCTACGTTTACTTCTATTCTCATCTTAACATTTGAACTTTGTTCCAGGTCTCTTGAACAATTTTCTCTCCTGGCCAGGGTTTCAGCCGTTCTCCAGACTAGCTCTTGGAATCTATCTTGTCCACTTTGAGATAATACGGATCCAAGGCAATAGACTGACAAGACCTGTAGAATATGACAATTTTTATTTCGTAAGTCGAATAAACTTTTTCACATGTATCAGATTTCTAATTGGCTAAAACACATCTGTTCTTAGTCAGTAACAAAGTTAAACGGATTACAGTATCTCACTCCACTCTACACTCATATTGCCTTCCTACTTAGCTTAAACGGACCTAGGTGTCCGTTGCTTAGTATAATGATGGCGTCTTTAATTTCTAAGATTGGAATTGGATTTTTAAATGTGTATACTCTAGTTGCACACCTCAACTGACTTTTTATTTTCCTATTTCCAGTTCCATATCGGCATCGGCGTGCTGATGGTGAGCACTTTTGTCGCTGTGGTATTATACCTCTGTGTAGAAGCTCCTTGCTACAATTACGTTTCTCATTACCTCCGAAACATTCCTGCAAACGTAGAAGATGACAAGACTCATCAGCTGGTGAAGAACGGCTCAGAGAGTCACAAATCAAATCAGCTAACTTCTATGAAAAGCAAAAAAGTGTCTGGACGATTAAAGATAAACTAGAAAGAAATTATTAACCTTTTTAAATGTGTGAAGGTTTGCGAAAAACTGCTAATTTAGCTTCTATGTTCCGAGTGAGATGACATTTGTCATAAACTGCTGGCCATTTATAAGGATTGAATGAACATTTTAATTTTCAAGAAACTTTGGCTCCTTGGGTTTATTGTTGAAGGTCTTTTAGCTCTACCAAAATTAAAATTGGAACTCTTCCCAAAAATATAGGATAACCCATTAGACCTACATCTATGACAAATGTAGGTCTTCGACATAACCCACAGTTTATTAAGAGGGTTCCACCAGCCAGCTGGTTACCATAAACATGGTCCTTCAAAAAAGAACTTCGTGGCATTATTGAAGTGTTAATCGAGTTGAGTTGAAATAAACTATAAAATATTCACAAAGATCCAAACTATGCCCTGGATTAAATGAAACTTCGTAATTGTTTCTTTAAGTATTTACAAAATCATTTTGAAAATCCGTAAATTAGTCTTTTTCACATGTGATTTTAGCTTATGAATAATAGTTTAACATTAATTTATGTTAAGAGCACAAAAGCACACTATCATTGGAAACAAATTACAAATTAGTTTTGGAGTGCTGAAAGCTTGTGCCGTAGAGGCATGTTTAAAAACATTAGCTTCTTGTTTTTGTTCAGGAGAGTCTACTTGCTACCTACTTACTATTGTATGCACTATTTAGTAGTATTTTTTGTATGCATCTTGTGTCTTATATCAGTTGTATGTCTTTTGCAACTTAACAACTCATCTTTGTTCACTTATTGTATTTAGTATAAACCATTGCTTGTTTTTCTCTCAAATGTTACTTTTGCTCTAATTTAAAACCACCTCGCCTCAGTCATTGCCAACTGTTGTTACTGTTTTTAATTTTTTTGTTAATTGCTATGCATGCACTATTTATTATTACTTCTTATTATGTCTCAAATGTACTATTACCATTACCGATTGTATAACTTTAGCATCTTTGTATGTATGGTATTTATTGTATAATGGTATTTGTCGTAAATAAATAAATTGAATTGAATTGTACTTTATTTTTAAGTTGCCAGATTCATCAATTCCACTAAGCAATTTTGTTTTGACAAAAAAACCTGCAATTTCAGCCTAAGCTGAGTGAGATGACATTTGTGATAAACCCATCTTTGTGTGAATGGAAGGCCATCTGCTCCTGGACCATGACTGACCACTGGACAATACTTTAGGGGGGGGGGGGTTGCAGCTGTCCCAAAGGGTTAACCTGTCATCTTATCTCTTCAAGCTGTCCAACAAATACACGTGCTGGAGATTGAGGCAATATAGGAGAAATATTTTTAATCCTCAAGAGGTGTTTCTGGATTTTGAATCTCTCAATTTTCAGCTTCAGCACTTAAATTCTTATGGGTACCATGGAATTGGAAAGAATGCAATTATTGTGTATTTTATGTAATTTCTCAATAATAGATCAAATGACTGTTTAAAATAGTTAGACATTTATAGTATCCAAAGGCAATGAAACAGAACTTCACAAGCTCTAAGATTGGGTGATTTGATCTTTGTCAGGTTTAAAATGAACCAAAACGAGAAAGATAATAACACAATTTTTTTTATGAATATGTATGCAAGATTTTGGTCGGAGAAACATCGGTGTGATATATTTTGTATTTTGTATTGAATTTGTTTACGATTAAGTTTTTAAAAATACTGAGATTTTGCATTTAGTCTTGCAATATCCCAAGTAAAGGATTTTACAATGAAGTTAATTAATCGAATGGGTTTTAATAGTGCTAGATTGACCTCTCATCCTGTTGTGAAGTTCTAAGTCTTTTAAAAGTGTTTCGGCGATGTTTGTGTGCACTGAGGTCCACACAATGTTTTCCTCTTTTTTATGGTAGATATTACAATTAGTGTTTTTCTCTTGACAACCACAACACAGAACAAGTAACAGTTGGTCAAATAGTTTTAAAATTTGTTAAATAAGAGTAAACAAATAGAAAACAATATACACAAATGGAGCTAACTACTGGTGACAACCTTAATTCAGTATTGTCTTCAGAAGAGTATGCAGTGCCGGATTTACCACTGAGCAAAAATGGCTGCAAAGGATTGACGGAAAAAAAAATTTCAGAACAGAAAATTACATTTTATTTTTTGAAACCATCAATTTGCTGCATTCACAGTTGGTGATAACGATGCCCCCATGATTGTGGCCCGCGTGAGATGTTCACGATTTCGCCGCAGTCACAGGTGTTGGTGATAATATTCCCTTCATTTAGGGTAAGTGTTCACGATTTCTTCGTGCTCACAGGTGTCGATGATGATATCCTCATGATCGCGACCTACGGGAGATGTTCCACGATTTTACCACGGATGTCGAGAATTACGTTCCCTACGATGTTCATGAATTCATCCGCGATCGCGGGTCTTGATTGCGTTGTCTCTGTGATTGCGGTCCGTTCACATTTTTGCGGGAGTCTGTAATGACATTCCCTTGATTTAGAGTAGGTTTTAATGATTTCTCCGCCATCGTGTGTGACGATGATAATTTCCCTGTGCCCTGTGATTGTGGCTTGCGGGAAATGTTAAGGATTCTACCACGGCCATGGGTGTCGGGGTGTCGATGATGCCTTTTCCTTGTTTTATGGTTGATGTCCAGGTTTTCATCCACGATCATGGGTGATGATGATGTACCTTGAACATGGGATATTTTCGTGATTTCGAGTAATTTGGCCTAGGGCCGCAACTACCCTAAATCCAGCAATGAGTGTATTTTTTATTTCTAGCCGAGCTTAGAATGCTATTTGTTTAGTCTTTGGCTAATCCTTTTTGTACGGTAAATCAAAATTTTTCATTTAATCATATTATTTGCTTGTCGGATTCACACTCAAAGTAGGTTAAATGTTACATTTATTGCAAACTCGAAAGGAGTGACAACAATAAAAGTTAGGTATATAACCCATTTTGATTTTAGTCACATCTTTACAATAGGTAATTTATTTTATTTGCCTTCTAGCTTAACTGATCAAAATATGATATATTACTAGATCCTATATCGGAATAAATTAACAAATATGACGTTTGACGTTTGTAAAGGTAACAAGAAAACCTCAACTCTATTTTAGTTACGATTTGCATTTGCATTACATTTTTTTCAAGGCCTATTTGATCCTCTGGGGCTCTGGCAGGGGTCGGATCGCGGAAGTACAGTGTACAGTAACGCCGCTACCCGCTACCGCTACCGCCCTGCCTCCAGATGCCACCACCTGTCAGCTGTTTGTGACCCACATTCTATCAGCTGTTGAGCGCAGGCGTGATGCTCAGCTGTTGTTGTCCCGCACGCGCTCAGCGCTACCCGCCATTATTCCACCCTTTCAACCCGCTACTTTGCCATTATGTCTGATATGCGGAAGGGTTCCACCCTCTGCACCGTTGTGTCTATATCCAGGAAACATCTCTATTGGGAAATATCTAGGTTAAACGTATTTTAGCCTCCATTGAACTCTTTGATATTAAGCAGGCTATGGAATTGAATTGGAAATCATTTATGAAACCCTACAATGAACGTTGCATGTTTGTATATGTGTTTTACGGGCTGTAGGGATCATGGAAAAAGAATTGTACACATTTAACACAATCAAGGTACAGGACTGTAGGAATCTTGACAGAACAGTTCTGTCAAGATTCCTACTACCTTGATTGTGTTAAATGTGTACAATTCTTTTTCCATGATCCCTACAGCCCGTAAAACACATATACAAACATGAACATTGAACATGAACAAAACATATACAAACAGTTCTGTCAGAACTGCAGGCAGGGATCACGGTACGGAACAGCACAGATTTTAACTGAGATCTGAAAAGTTTTGAGTAGGCTATAGGACTACAGATCTCGTCTCGAAACTGGCACATCTAGGCACCAAGTCTCTTGACTTTTTTCAAGAGTTCTTGGGTTATTTTTCATTCATAGATGATGTCTACACTAATGCAGTGTACATTAAAATATTTCAACATTTTAAATGTGTTAAAATACATTTATGTAGTTACATGTGAATGCTACAAGCCCCAAGCTTTTATGGTCCGCTTGAAATCGTTCAAGTGTTGTTCAAAACAAAAATATTATCGTATCCCCGGAACCGGAACTTTATTGACCACTGCCGATAACAATGAGTCATCAGTTGACGAGATCCCAGAGGCAGGGGAGAATCACCCTTTCACGTTATTGGAGGGAACTGTTTCCGCAAACGCGGAAAACATCTGCGGGCTGTTTAGTAGCGAATCAAACACCCCAGCTATTATTTGAGGTTCGTTCTCAATATTAACTTTGACTGTGGACACTTAGGTACATTTAAACTTTCATCGGTATTATTTTTTGTATATGCAAATTAATTTGAAAAGCGTTAGCAAAAAAATTATAACCAAATGATCATTTAATCTCCCTCGAGTTTTATTTTCATATTACCGTATTCATTATCAACGATAAAATGATAAACCAAGAAATCCATACACATCTTTTATAGTACATTGAGACAAATAAAATGTATTCAAGATTGAGTTGGAGGTATTAACATTGACTATAAAAACACGTATAAGTAAACGTCCATTCCCATGCAAACGTTGAGGCTGCCTTGGGTAATAAAAAAGTGCCACTAACTCCTATAGAGTTTGCCAACTTCTTGTGAATTCTCATAGTCTTTCACCCCAACAACTATCAACGTATCAGTAAATTTATCTAGAAAACACTTAGAGTGAGAGGCTATTTATGATTTTTCAGTATAAATCTGGCTACTCCTGAGAAACTGGGATGTCTGCATCAGTATCCAAAGTCAATGTTAGTTTTCAAATATAAATTATACAGTATAATTTAATGTGTTATGGTTATACGAATATTTGTTTTATGTATGTTATGCAGAACCACAGAGAAGTAAGGTTTCTCTTTAATTTCTCTGTGACGGTACTCGATATTGTTTGAATTCGTAGCCTATTAATAGCAAAATAATAAAAAAAAAATAATTCTTAAGTTACAAACTTACGTAAAGTAAAGGTTACGACTAAAATAATTAATCCAAGTCTGGTTTAAAATTTATTAACGGCTTTGGGGGCTTTAGGGCTCATTGAAATCAACCGAGTTACCAAAAAAATACTTTGAAAGTTCATTCAAAACATTTAGGATGATTTGGACTAAAACTATCAGTTTAACTAATTTACTTCAATCAGTTATAGAATATGTTCTGGGAAATATGTATAAGGACTTTATCAACAAGTAAAATACTGTAAGGAATAATTAAAAAATGAAAACAATAATATTTTGCAATTTTCTATCTAGTAACCAATTAAAGGTTTTCTGCTCAATATACCTAAACGTTATAGTTTTTGACTCTCCAAAACAACGCAGTTGCTAGCCTGAATTGCCAAAAATAAATTTGACAGATGGCCCAATATAGAAAGCAGACAAAACACAAAGTCCCTTGCAACTTTATCCCCATTATGCGATACACCGTAATTCTTCCGGGAGTTAAACCAAAAAGGAACACTTCCATTGTTTTACTCTTTCAAAAGATTCTGAGAAGCGGGCGGCGGTTTAGCAAAGGACTAATGATGTGGGGGAGACTCAAAATATGATTTTTGGGAAGATACAAAAGAGCCATCCACACGCAGCACCTGCCCACCACAGTTTGACATAATGAACAGCCCTTCTTTTGAAAATCATACCGAAAGGTATTTCCGTTAAACAGCTGTTCTTGACTAATGGTTTTGGACTGTCAAATTTGCAGATTGAGTTTTACGCTGCACTCGTTTTAAAGGAAAAGATTGAGGTCATTCGGCAGAAAAGAGTTTAAGAATTTTGGACACTAGGGTAGACAACCATTATATAGCCTACACGAATCAGCTGAACAGATTTTTCATTAAAATGAAACACACTTGAATGGGTAACTCTAGTCTGTATTACTGCCATTATTACATTTACAGGTTGGTGTAGGGGGTTCGTAACATTTCCGTTCGAATGCACTGATAAAGGCGAAATGTTTCTTTTTCATGTGTAACTATT